CCCCACCTTCTCACTACCCTCCTCTTTTGCTGCACTTGATTGAGTACACACTTCATCTTCAAAATAAAAATTTATTCAATCTGTAACAAGAACATTGAATCTGCACATTTGCGCACAAGTTCACATTTAAAAACAGCGGAGCACATCAATAATAAAAAATCTATGATACAAGTGGAACATCCCAACCAGCAGGAAGATTAAGGAAGGAGATGAGACCACTCTATATTCTGCTTCAAATGCCTCAAAAAGGTCCCAGAGATTCCAGGGAGCACCTGCTTTATTTAATAAAACGTGAGCATAAAAGTTTGGGGTTGCCTGGGCAAAGGTTAACAGTCAGTGGGAGGGGCTTTGGGGACTTGTTTTCTACCTTTACAACAAGTCCTACAAAATAAAGTAGAAAGGAAAAAAGAAAAGGCACCTTAAGCTATGCCAAGCAAACCAAATTCCAATAGAACATAAAAACCAAACAATTCCCTGTGGACTTACTGATGGGGAAACATTTCAGGGCCAGTTAGTTACCCAGCTTCCAGACTGAGTCATCAGCTTGAGTTAAGCCCCGGGTACAGGAGGCCACCGCTAGTGCTGATGTGGGGACACAGATGGTGGCACTAGTCACATACCTCTTGGGGCATCTTCAAGCTGATGAGGGATGATTCCAGTTTAGAAATTCTGTCCCAGATCTCTGGGGCACTGAGAAAATGAGGCTGGTTCTCTTTTCACAGCAAGAGCCAGGCCCAGTCACCCTCTGCTTTCAGGCTGGAAAAGTACAAAAGCGTCTTGTAATAGCCCTCCATGGCATCCAGGGACCCCAAGCCCTGGAGAAGGGTGGGGAGTGTGCAGCTGCCTGCTCTGGTGGCAGGCAAGTTTTCATTCTAATACGGCCCCTGGATGAGTTGAGGCAGCAAATACATTTATGCCTAATACATGCCTTGATCTTTTAGTTTGGAAGGGAAAACGAATCCAAGATGCTCTTAAGTTGGATTGGTGCTGAAAGAGCTAAGATTTCATCTCATCTACCATCAAAAAGCAAAACAAAATTGAAAAACAACACTAGCCATTCACCATTACAACCATCACTATAAGACCACACCATCACTGAGGAAAGACGACTGTTTCCATACAGCGTGTTGGATGGGAGTGCACAGATGGAAATCAGCTCCAGGTTGTCCCCACTTCCCCATGAGGGCTGACCACAAGGGCCTTGCTCTGTGTGAGGATGGCTAGAGCCGGGTGCCTGGAGGAGGAGACTGAGCGGCCATCAAGATGATGCTCGTTTTAATACTCACAATGTAAACAAAGTATCCACAGACAGTTGCTCAAAAAAGCCAAAGAATGGCTTTATTTTAAAAATTGAAAATGCCCTTGAAAATGACCCTTTTTGCATAATGCTTTCTTTGAGAGAGAACGCCCACCAAAAAAAAAAAAAAGAAAGAAAATCTTTATCAAACATGGCTAGATCACTTCAGAACTGAAATCCTCAGCTGGAACAAATGAAGCTTCTTGTGAGCTGCTACTCTCAGCAACTTCAGGTCTATCTGAGAGCATCTGTCTGGGGCCTTTTGGCAAGAGGGGGGACCCCGGAGCCTGGGTGGTCATCCTCAGACTGTCCCTGGGGCTCTTGGTAGTTCCCAAAACAAGAAAGAGGAAATGCCAGCTGGGATACAGGTACAGAATCAGGAGAATGCTAGATAAAGAGCCTGAAATGTTAGGAATGATCCCAAACATTCAGGATCTGAAAGGCCATCCAAATGAGGTGAGATGAGGATGACTACAGTACAGTCCTATGTCTGCTAGAGCACACACCATGCCTAAGTTGTTTCTAAAATCAAAAAAGGGGGGGGGGGGCTTCTCCTTCCTGCTGACCAGAGAGCCATCCAGATTACAGCTCAAAATCTGTGTGCCCTGGGGCTTTCACCCCACGCACCACAGTGTGACTTTCACCCACACACACACACACACACACAGCTCTCCAGAATAAATTCTGAGTCAGGCTGTGGTAGTTTTCAAAGTAAAGAGAACAAGAGGCCCTGGCGAGAGGTCAGAACTTCTACTCGTCCATCAATCGGCCAGACCTGCTGCTCTGGGCCTGGGTTCTCCATGAACAGAAAAGGGAAACAGGTCACCCGAGATTATCAGACTGTTTGAAGAGAATACAGTTTGGAAAGCTGTTGATAGGCTATCACGGACTTCCCCTGGACAGAACTCAGCTACGTAAATAGCACAAGAACACTCAGTTGTGGGAGTCTGAGGGCTGGCAAAACCCCATGGCATGCTTGAATTACAGACCTCATGGAGAGAATGTTTCTTTAGGCAGGTAAATTAAATGATTAAAAATATATAATAATTATTCAAAAAAAAAGGCAAAGCAAGACCCTTTTTTTCTTCACAGTGTTTGAGGGTTCCCCCCCCACCCCCTGCATCTCTGTTGCTAGTTTAATGCAGTGAGCGTGAGCATTAAATACCACGGCGAGAACAGTGCAATACTGTCAACCCCCAGGTGTGTACTTCTTAGTATGAGGGATGTCACCATCTCAGGGGATTCACTGAGGGGACATTACTCTCTTTACCTCCCTGCCAAGCCTCCTCTTCCCAGCCCTGCACAGTTTCCTGTCCCTTCCCCATCATCTTGGTGATGGAACTGCCTCAACCAGACTGGGCAGTGCCAATGGGTGAGCCCTGGAAATTCATAACCCTGTCTTGCAAGTCTCCTCACACTGGAACATGCCGCCTAACAGAACACTTTACAACACATGAAATATCCAGGAGTCACAAAACTGTGTGGATGATACATCTGAACATTGAAGAAACTATTTAAGAACAGCACAGGTACCTATCATTACTACACCTTAAAAAACACTTAGAACAGGAGGTTTCTGTCTAATTGGCCTCCTGGCAGGGACATCAGACCCAACCATGGCCCCCTCATGGCAACTGGACTCACAGCTCGTCTTGAGCACCTAGGAGTGGCCTCAGTCCACCTCTGCTGTCTCCTTTGGGTCACCCTGTCCTCACCAAGCTCTGGCCTCTGACATCACACTCACAGCCTGTGAATCTGTCGTCTTCTCTCAGTGCTGTGATGAATCCCAAACCTAAACCTCAGTTCTGTGCTTGGTCTGTCTCTCAGCGATGTGGCCATCGACCAAAGCACACAGGAAGCCAATCTTCAGACCTCTTTGGTTCTGAGGAGCTGCAGAGGGCATTCCTTCCGGGCTAAACATGTGTTCTGTAAGAAGCTGAAACAGGGTATTTACGGCAGGTGCTGCGTTAAGGACCTCCACAATAGCAGCAAAGCAACAGCATCCTAAATGTGGTCACTAGGGGCACCTGCCCTTGCCGAGGCCTCCCTGTGACCCTTCAGCCCAATCCATTAGGGGCTTCTGACCTGGGCAGCAGTAACACTCACATATGCTCTCTGGCTCTGATTCAGCCACTGGCAGACAATGTTCTGGGATTTCAGTCTCAAAGAGGCATCAGCCTTCAGTCACGCTGCAATCTAATTGGGAGCCTTTGGGGGTTTCTCTGAGGAGGAAGTTACTAACGCATAATTTGGCAGGAACTGGTGATTAGAAGTCTCCATTTAAATTACACCACTGTCCATATATACTCTGCAGATTCCTACCAACACCCATGAGTTTTATTTCTGTGGTATCTGTAGGTCTTCCAGTTGCAGCTTTACTCCTTCTTAAAACAGATAAATCAAAAAGACCCTATAACATTAACAACAAAACAATGTAAGAAAGTGACGCCATTATGTACATAAATACTGTATATAAACTAGAGAAATGACAAATCTTCCAGGAAAAGAAAAAAAGAAAACTTATGTCAAGTGTTAACAGTGATAATATTAAAAAGTTTGCATTCGATGGAGGTTATACATAGGTCATGTAACAATTCAAATATCTTATGAAATTAAAAAAAATTAGGCAGCGTTGGGAGAAACAGCATGAGGGAGGGAAATAAATTGGAAAAAATATGGCCATAAAACTCAAAAGGCCCACAGAATTATTCAAGTAACAAAAGGGTTAAAACCCTGCATCTGTACTCATTTCAGAACACAAACACACTTTCAGTTGCTGTTTTTCAAACTTGTCCCTATCGTGTTTTCATGTTTTCTCATTGGGAGGACGCTGCAGAGCACTTTTCTGGGGGGTAGGGGGGAAGAGGGGGTGGGGAAGAAAGGGTAGGATGACCACCTTAGTGGAGACCATCCACCAGAAGATACTGGGCGTGACCACCTCTCCACCCCCAATTTCACCTCCTCCTATTCGGCTTCCCTCTACAGAGGACCTCGTGGATTTCACTTGGAGGTCATTTTAAATTTAATAAAATTATTTGCTTGGGGTGAAAAAAAAAAAGTATTTGCTTGATAGGTTTACAAAGCCAGCCGTTATCATGCCTTTTTGTAATGATACACTCTGGAGACCAGAAGAGATGAATTCTGGAAGACCCTCTTTGAAAGCAAAGCAGAGTCTGCCCACCTCGGGAACTCCCAACGGGCTGGGCTGAGAACACGCTGAGTCAGGCTGCCCCCTTCAGCAAATCTGAATCCAATGCATCAGGTCTGGAGACCAAACCCTCATCACACAGGCCTAAGGCAGCGCTTCCAATTTCCAGCTTCATCCCCACCCTCCCCATCTGCTTCCTTCCTCAATCAAGCCAGCAGGCCTTTCCTCCGAGGGCAAAATGAGGAGCAGGTGGCAGCTGATTGAAAAACAGCACGTTGCCTTGGATAAAGGTGTTCTTTGAAAATGAGTTTTTTTTTGAGGTTGAATTTTCCAAAAAAAAAAATTTGACAAAATGGTCTTGCCGTCCAAATCAAACTCTCTCTCTCTCACACACACGCACGGGGTAGGGGTGGGGAACAAACCCTGCATGCGCCAGGAACAGTAAAATGACCAAAATATTATAAAATTAACCAATAAAGTGCATGGTTCCTTACGTATTACACCTGCCCCTTTTACAAACATTTCTTTCAGAAAGTCACGTGTACAGGCTCAGAATCACATGGTGTTATAGAAGGGGTTGGTTGTCCGTTTTTTATCGTTCGCTTTCCTCAGTCTCCTAAGGGGGTGAGTTCTGCCGTGCTGCTGTCGGGGCGCCACAGCCAGCCCTGGGGCTGGGCCGGCGTCCTGCAGTCCCCGGGCCGGCACCGAAGGCAGGCCTCCTTCCGAACCAGTCACTTCAGGCCCTGCGCTGGGGCGCAGACACTGCTGACTGTAACCAAATGCCCTGGCGTACTGCGCCAGGGGCCTCTCCACTGGCCTGCTCTGTGCGACATGCCCTGTGGTTCTGAGTTGCTCTATGAAATACTTGGTGGGCTCTCGGTTCTGGGCAGTGTCTGGGTTTTCTGGGGGCTCCTGGGCCTCCACACCCGAGTCCGTTCTGAGGAAGGGCTGAAGCAGTTTGAGATGAGGGGACTCAGAGGAGACGGGCTCCCTCTCTGGTGAACAGTCTTTACAGAGGTCCAAGTAACCTAACTTGGCGAGGGAAGCTGAACGCCTCATTTGGGGTGGCTTGGGGGGCCCTACCTGGGAAGTCGCTCGGGACTCGATTTCTTTAGCGCGTCCCTTCCCCACCCTGGGGCTCTGACTGAGGCTCTCTATACTGTCTGTACTGGAGCTGTGTGGGAGTTGATGGGCTACAGGTGTTGGGTCCAGTTTTGCCGGTTGCTCCCCGGTATTATCACCCAGTTGGCTGATTAAATGCGGGTCTTCGCTACTGAACTGGGAGCCCTGGTACGTCACTTCACCACCCCTGGAGAGGGGGCCCTCCTGGCTTTCTTCCCAGCTGTCCTGCTCTGTGGAGGGGGCGCTGTCTGTGGTGCTGCTCTGTCCTGTGAAGCCTTCCAGGTGAACCACCGTCTGGGGGCACAGGTGATTGGGGCTGGCGCCACATGGCTGGGTCGTGGGACTGATATCAGGCGCGGCTGGGCTGCTCAGGGTGGGGGGCAGGTCGACTGGCCTGCTGTGCTCAAGCTGGGGAGAGGAAGAATGAGGCGGAGGTAGCACTCTGGGGCGCAGAGGAGCCTGGTCAGGGCTTAGTGTCCGGTTCAGATTTTCATCCAGAGCACAGAGGACAGTGAGGGCCTCTTCCACCTTCACAGTCCTCAGTCCCTGCGCCCCACTCTTCTCACTGCTGGCTCTTTCCCGCCCTGGCCTGGGATCAGGTGATGGCGCTGTGTAGGTGTATTCAATGATTTCTATCTTCTTGGGAAAGGGAGCAGGGGCTGCTGGTGTCTCGGGCCCCTGGCCTGAGACCACAGCCCTCGGCTCCCGCAGGACACCTTCGTGCCGCGGGCCATCCTGAGGTGCTGGCGCCGGGTGAGACTCCCGCAGCTCAGGGGCCGGGACGATGGCAAGCTGCTCAGGACGCGGTAAAGAGCCAGCCTCAGACCCACCGCATCGCCCTTGGGCCCTGCCAGTCTCTGGCTCTCTGGGGACGTGTGGCAGTTCTGGGGCGGCTTCGTCACTCTTCCCTTTCGCTGCCGGCTCTGCCGCCAAGGAGTCGTTCCTGGAGTTCTTGCGAGAGGACAGAGAGGCCCCCGCGGGCGCAGCACCGAGGTGCTCCTGTTCTTGCCGCAGGCGCTCCTCGAGCTCCAAGGTGGCTCGCCTCACGGACCCGGGGTACCACTTGGCCCCCGGGGGCATCCCGGGGCCCCAGGGCTCTTGTTCCCCCTCCGCTGGTTCTTCCTCTTCCACCTCTGCAGTGGAGTGTGCCCCTGGGCACCCCTCGGGGTGCCCCTTCCCTGAGTCTTTGGCTGGCTCAGGCTGGGCTGAGCAGGAACCTTCACTCTGCTCCAGGTTTCCAGGCCTGCTCGTGGCGGCCTGGGCCCTCTCCAGGGGCAGCTCGTGGGCGATGTGCTTCTTTGGTGTGTGGCACGGGTTGGACAGCACGTCTCCTTTCACCTGAATCTGTCCGACTCCTTGACTGATGGATTCAATCTCAGTGACGATTTCTTTGACTGACATCGCATTTTCTGAGTGCGGCTGCATGAGGATGTCTGGGCTGACCTGTTCTGAGATTGCCTAAGAAGAGGAAACAGTGAGAAGGTTACTGGAGTAAACTGGAGTCTGACTGAAAGAGCCAGACTGTTTGCTCATTAGGTTCTGATCCAGGAGAACCTTCTGGCTCTGAGGACACAAATCACAGGGTGCCTGGAACTGTCCTCTGCCTAGGGTTACACTCTATTTCATGGTACAAGAAAAGAACAGATTCATCAAAGGCAGAGATACAAAATTAGTCATACATGTCACTGTCTATTAAACTTTTGTTCTTTTTGCTCTAATAGGATTCTGTTCCAATATCTTGCTCCAAGAGTAAACAGTAAGTAGCCCTGGAGGCTCCTATAATCCTTATTTTCTGAAGACCCTGAGCCTTCTATGATTCAGGCCATCCTGGGGTAAACGAAACTTTTCCTCTCTAGCCTATCGACTTCTGGCCTAACCTGGTTCCAGGGGAAGAGTTCCACTGAAGGGCTCAGTGGCCGCCTTAAATATGCCCAGAGTCTGAGGGAGATGGATGTCTCACTTGGAGTCTCACTGCTCTCTTCTGTCCTCTGTTTTGCCAGCTCTCATCCACTCCTCCCCCTGCTTCTCCCAGTGGCCACATCCCAGCACGTGAGCACAATTCCTATGTTTCATGGGGCTCCTTCCGTGGCTGATGCAAACACAGGCCTGAGAAACTATGACTCTGACATTTTACTGTTCCACCAGTTACAAGTCCCCAGATGGGTTTAGAACAAAGCCAAAGAAAACTGGCCAATGTGAAATCAAGCCCTACTGTAAAACAGTTAAGAATCTGAGAATTCAGAGATGGCCCTTGGACATCTCTTAAAGCAACATCATTCTCAGCCTCAATCTACTTTGGCAGCATTTTTGTAATTTCAAAGTTCAATATTTCCCTAGGAATTGTTCTGGTCTTTCTCCTTCAAAAGAGTCAGAGCTAGTACAGACTAGCAAGGTCAGTTATGCCTTTGGGAGAAATGTGCTGGGACATCAGGCAGAGGCCAACTTGCCAAGGCTGGGAGAGAAGCCGCAGTGGGCCCAGTGTGGTGCAAGGCTATGGACAGAGTGCTCATATGACCAGCAACTTTGCAGAAAAGCTATTTCTGTCAGAGCCGCTGCATCCATTAGTCCAAAGGCGAGCTTGGGCATTCTGGTCTCCCGGTAGAAATAAAACAGAGGCATAACTTTGGGGGAGAAGAGAAGACAGAAGCAGAGGCAACAACTGCCCCGGGTTGGTTAAGAAGAGAGAAGACGGATGAGGAGTACACGAGGTGGTAAATGTAAGTAGGCAGACATCAGGAGATGTCAAGAGTTCAGTCGGCTCCACTGAAATCATTAAAGGACTTCGTTTATGTTAAAGCAAATTGATCACCATTTACTTCCCATTGTCAATCTAAGATACCGTTGTTTTTAAGATACCACCCAATTTCAAAAGTCAAAATGAATATAATAATTAATGTGAGTCTTAGAACTGTTGACACATAGTAACTGTTCCCCTGGCCTGAGATGGCTCACAGGAACTCATGAGAATTCATGAGCCTCTGAGAAGAATCTTGGGATTCTGTCTGCTCTTAAATTATTTCCTCAAACCATCTCTCAATTCTCAAATACCATAGGGTGGCAAGATGAGGAACAATTCAGACACATTTTCAATACCAAGAACTCATCATGGGAATTAGCTGCTATTTCAACCACTATTAACATATGTCCAGTCTTTGAATTTTCTGAGGCAGAAAGAATTTCCCCAAACAAATCCATCCTCTCAGAGAGACGGGTCTCACTCAGGCAGCAGGCAAGTCCCTGGCACCTCCCTGCTGGTTGAGGTTTGATCTGAACTGCAGAGGCCCAGGAGGGACCTCTCCTTGTTCTGGGAGGACATGCATTTTGGCTAATCCCTTCTTCCCTCATCCCCTTTCAGAAATGCTTCCAATGACACCAAAAGCCTAGAAAGATAAATTCCTCGAAATGCCACTGATTTAAAAAATATGACTATATTTAAACCCTAAGTTTTCCCAGAAAGTCCTAGCCAGACTGTCTCTCCCATATCGCCTTCTTCATTCTTTATCAACATCAAAAATAGAGTGAACAGAGCAGAATCCCAAATATTTGTCTTCACAGAGAACATCAGTAGGGACAGAACCATAGAGAGAGTCTTTACCTTTGACTGCTCCTCATCTACTGAAGACTCCTCAGATGCGTGGGGAGTATTACTCAACGAGCTGCTTCTCTGGTCATCAGTGGTTGCTTCGGAAGGGGCTGCTTCCACCACTGACAGTCGACAGCTCTCGCTCCTTCCTCCACCCATTTCCTCCATCCTTGAATGAGAAAAAGATCGGGACCGGGTTTCTTGGGAAAGCTCTACAAACTTCTCCAGTGCACTGAAAAAGTCAATGCGATCTCCACTGAAATCTGAGCCTGCGGCCTGGCAGCTGGGCTGGGGGCTCGGTGACTCAGGATCCGGGGACATGGGCAGATCTTTCAGGCGGGATGTCAGCTCTTCCATGGGCAGCAGATGGACGTTCATGTCTGCTTTCAGCGCGTCCGTCTCCAGATCTTCCACGGTTAAGTCTGGGAATTTGTGGGCCATTTCTGGGTCCTGTCCGGGTTGGATTAAGGCTTTGGATGCATGGCAGTTGTCAAGAGGGAATTTCGGTTCATTTAGACAACACCCTGATGAGCATCCATTGATGTCATTTAGGTTTAATTCATCTTCAATCTGTCCGGCATGAAATTCCCGAGAAGTAAACTCCAAGCAGATCATTCTTTCTTTGGTGCACAGGCCTTTCTGATTCTCATCCTGCGGGACCACGTGTTCCACAAAGACGGGAGGGATGGGCGCGTGGCTCTCCATGGTCTTCACCTCAGCAATCTGGTCTGCTGAGGTGGTGATCTCCTTTTTGTTGAGTTCCAGTCCTGGTTTGCAGATGGGTTCGTGGTGGTCCGAGAGGTCACTATCTGAATGCGATCTCCAGAGTTTGTTGTGCCGCTGTTTGCTGTGGAGGACACATATAGGAAATGCCTTACTCTGAGTTGTGGAAGCAATCAAATCCCTCCCAGGAAACCACTCCCACAGAAACGTAAATCTTATCCTGCAAGATGCTCTGTTAATGCCCAGTAGGAGTAGGCAATCAACAGTTGAAAAGAGGCTCAATGTCACTAATAGCAAACAACAAAAACAAAGCAAAACAACAACAAAAACAAATGAACATGAGATCTGACTTTTTACGACTGGACTTACAAGAGCTAAGATGGTTGTTAACAGTCAGTGTTGATGATGGTTTGGCCAAACTAACACTCTCATGATACAGGGTTGGTAGGAGTGTGAACTGTAGAATTTCAAAGAATAAAATCTGGCAATAGCTCTCAAAATTTAACCCTTTCACCAGCAACTCTCCCTTTAAAATTTTTACTTTGAGAAATACTACTACATAAGTGCACAAAGCTATATATATATATATATATATGGATGTTTACTCTTAATACTATGGCATCAAAAAAAATTTAAATTACAGTCCATACACTTAACATGCTATGAGGCTATTAGAAACAGTCAGTATATCAATGGAATGATGTCCAAGGTGTATTATTAAGTGAAAAGCATGTTGAACACGCTTGGAACAGTTAGTTCCCATGTCAGAATAAATGTAGGAAAATATTTGGAGGAGCATCATTAAACTGGTAACAGTGTTTATTTTGAGGAAGGCAGGGCTTTCACTTTGGGGGAGGGCTTTACATTCTACACTCTGTAGTATGTCTATAATTTGTGAATTAAAAATGAGCATATTTAGTATTAATAACTGGGGGGAAAAACTAAAACAAAACCGCATCCAAATAAAACAGAGAGACACTTTAATGGAGCCCAGTATTAAGTCCTCATAACTGAGATAAAGAGTTGACAGAGGATTAATCACTGATGTGGAAGTGTGAGAGTCTTTTTTTTTTTTTGACAGTCTTTCTTGAATTAGAAAGTGAAGATGAGGGAAGTCCCTAGTGTTGCAGTGGTTAAGACCCGGAGATTTCACTGTGGTGGCAAAGATGAGGCTAGTAAATCTGGAGATGAAGGATGGTAACAGAGAGGAAAAGGATAAGCATAAAATACAGGCCCCTTTCATAAGGATCTATGGATAAAAATCACCAAGCTAAAGTGACCCTGGAAAAGGAGGTAAGCCAAAAAGACTACACACATGTCCATCCTGTGGTTGATTTTGTGGAGAGGAGGTCTGATGAGATCTCATTTCAAAGCCCACTCTAATAAGGAAGCACAGTTCCCAAGGCTCCAATCAAAAAGAGGAAGGTGGTCCTGTGGCTGGCCCAGGGAACAGGTCGCCAAATGTGGCATTTGGGGGTGCGGTTTCCACGACTCACAGGCAGATGAAGAGTTACTTCACCTCAGGGTGGAATGGGAAACAGCCCAGGACAGCTTACTCAGGGCTCGGGGCCATACCTGCCTCGGCCGCCTGTGAATCTCTGCCGAGTCATGCGCCTGCACTAATGTGAACCCCTGTTTGTTCTCAGCTCTGCACCTGCTCTCAGCTCCCCCGCCTGCTGGCTGCTTGGGTGGGGCTCTCCCTGACTCATCAGGCCTGCCCAGCAGAAGGGTGCTTTTCCGGGTAGGGAGCAGGTCAATTTATGAAGACAGCTATAATCAATTAGCTGGCTGTGAGGTAGGCTTTTCACCCTTTCCAAGGTGCACGGACTCCAGCCACCCCTAGGAGGAGACAACATATCACACATTCCGAACGCGTGAGTGGTGGTGGGCGGGGGCCAGCGAACTGGTTGGATAGGTGGGGCCTTTGTGACCAAGGGATGCTCCTGTGCTTTAAAGTTTCTTCTTTTTAATAGAGACACCCTGTTTCTTGACCTAAATAATGACTGTGTTCTCCAGTTTCTGTTCTTCACCTATCATGAGGATGTTCAAACTGCTACCAAGTCCTCTCAGCTGCTATGGTGGGATGACTCCTGTGATGCAGACAGATCAGTGGGAAGGTTATCTCTGGGAGGAGCTGTTCTCACCCTGATAATAAACAACAGCTTATGTCACCAGGCAACTGTTATCTTCCTGGTCCTGAGAACCCTCCAAAGGATGTTTCTAAAGACCTGCTTCTAAGTCACTAACCAATGAGAGACGGATGTTATGCTAACAGGCACACACAGGGCCAGCCTCAGAGGAAGTGGCTGACATCATAGCTGCTTTACCCAGCAGGGATTTCCTTCCCTTCCTGCAGAAGATAATCATCAGAAAATACTGGGTCAGAGCTCTGGAATTATACTGACACCTCCTGTAAAGGAGAGAGAAAAATCCTGATCCAAAAATAAGTCTGATTCTGCCTTTTTCATTTTTTCAGTAGGACCTGCAGGGAGAGTGGCAGGCGGGTCTCTGGCAGTCAAGACACGGCCTTTGACGCGCTGTTATTCCATGTGGCCCTTTCTCATCCTTCTCCCAGCGGAGAGGTCAGTAACCAGTGACCTGAATTTTGTGCTAATCACACCCTCCTTTTTCCTTATTGTGTCATCACATTTTGTTCTGACAATACATAGCTTGGTTTGCACGTTTTGAATTTTACATAAATGAAATCACACTGTGTATTCTTCTACAACTTTTTTGGGGGGGCTTAACATGCTTTTAAGATTCATCAATGTAGCTGTAATTTTATAGTGTACACAGTAAAGCCACAATTTATTTATCTGCCCTGCAGACCAGCAGTTTTGGGCTACAAACGATTACAGACAACAATGCTATGGACATTCTTGTGCCTGGTGCAGTTTGGTTTCTCAAAGGTGTTTATATGTAGGAGGGGAAAAGGTAGGTCATAGTGCCCGTGTGCATTGTTAATTTTACTCAGTAACACCACACTGCCTCCCAGTGAAGCCTCTTCCCAAGCCAGTTTATTCTAATACTGCATCAGTAGGGATAGATATAAGACATTAGATCATATTTGTTACTTTAAACTGTTAGCATTTATACTCAGCTGATGCTCCAGGTAGGCAGTAAGTAAAAAGTGAGTAAGTGGCGGTTGCTCAGTTGTGTCCGACTCTTTGTGACCCCATGGACTATAGCTCGCCAGGCTCCTCTGTCCATGGAATTCTCAAGTAGGCAAGAATACTGCAGTGGGTAGTAGCCAGTCCCTTCTCCAGGGGATCTTCCTGACTGAGGGATCGAACCCAGGTCTCCTGCATTGCAGGCAGATTCCTTACCATCTGAGCCACCAGGGAAGCCCCAGGCAGCAAGTAAATAAGGTCAAAAAGAACTTCAGAGCTTGTTTGTGGCCTGTATGATGCAACCAAGTCTCAGGTTCTTTTCCTCCCCGAGTGGCCTCTGACCTGAATTTGGACTCACATAAACATACTGACATATGGGAAATGCCTGGGTCATTCTGGGTAGGAATTTGGCCTTTTACTTAGTAAATGAGCAAGAAGGAAATCTAAACGACAGGATGCATATGCTATCCCATTCTCTTGCCTCCACTTTTTCTTACTGTTAGTCGTTCAGTCGTGTCCAACTCTTTTGTGACCCCACGGACTGTAGCCCACCAGGCTCCCCTGTCCATGGGATTCTCCAGGCAAGAATACTGGAGTGGATTGCCATTTCCTACTCCAGGGAATTATTTCTTCCCGACCCAGGGATCGAATCTGCATCTCTTCTGTCTCCTGCATTGGCAGGCAGATTGTTCACCACTGTGCCACCTGGGAAGCCTCTTATTGTTACATGTTGGGTGAAGTACCAACTCTGAGAAAATTATGTACAGGAAAATACTGCTAAAAAAGGAGTATGGTCACTTCTCAGGGCATTAGGCAGTCTGCAGAGAATTGGAGAAGGAAGAGAGAAAGAAAGCATCAGCTGAGCATCGTCTGAGCTGTGCGTGGTCCTAAATGCTCTAAGATTGTTTCACTGAAATGCTATTAAGAAAATCCTTTAAACTTGACTTGCGTTGGCTGTCAGCTGGCCAGGAATCCCTGTTCTCTCTTTCTCAGCTTCCCTTCTGCTGGCTGACCATTGTGTGCCAGCTAACTAGACTAATGTCTCCACCAGCAAAGACAGCTCTATCTCCTCTGGTCCTGGTGACAGGAACATTCAAAGAATCAAAACACCTATGAGGACATGCCACAGACTCTCCCTGGCCACCATCCAGTTTTTCTTCCTCGCGTCTTAGATGCTGGAACCTAATATCTCAGACACAGGGTCCAGCTTGCAGATACATGAAAGCTGAACCTGTCGAATGGAACATAAATCTGCCAGATACCTCAACGATCAGAGTCCAAGATAACAAACAGGGTTGCTGGTAGCTTAATGGAGGGTTTCAACACACACATACACACACCCCTCCTCCTGCATCACTCCTATCCCCTAGCTGTAACAACAGAAAACATAAAATTAGATATGAACAGTATCAGCACCTTTGTGATAAATATCCTCACTTTCAGATCTAAAGGAGAATATGAAATATTAGCATTCCTCAGGCTTAAAGACAGACTAAAAGATGCAAAAAGTCCCTTGAATTTCACAGGGTCTCTCACTGTTTGGTCTACATTCTCATATCCTGATTAAGAGACTGTAACCACCTCATAAATCACTACAGGGGCCTACTGTCACTTTGTTAAACTTCTTTTCTGCCAAGAGGTCAAAGTGCCAAGCTAATACCCTCCAACAGAGGGTTGCCCTCTCAAGTTAAGCACCCTGCGCCACTCTGGACAACCAATGGGGCTTGACAATGCCAGGATCAGGGTGCTAGTTCTGTGGGAAAACCACAGCATGCTTCCTGGGAGAAGATGTGAAACACAAGATGTCTGAGTGCCTGGACAGGAAATGGAATTTCTTTGCAAATACAGTGAGTCCTCGGGATTTTCCCAAGGACTTTCCTCTCTTGGTTACCGAACCACAAAGCTTGGCAGGGCTTCAGATAGTCACAGGCCTCTGGGGCTCCTCCTTCTTTGCTCTTCTAAGCATACAGACCCTGAAGCAGTTCTCTGGGGCTGGGTAAGCAAGCTTCTCTGAGGCCCAACCCACTCAGCAGTCAGCTTGGCAGGTAGCTTTACAAGTGCTGTATTCCTGACAATACATCATAGCCTGCAGACCCGAGCAGCTACATACCCAGGAGGCACTCCCACTCTTCTTCCTAACTGGCAGAGGCCCAAGCTGGTTTGAGTGTTCAAGTCCCACCGGTTCAGGGAATGTGGTACTTCCCTAACACCAGAGGGTGAATGTGAATTTATTTTATTCTTTTGGGCACGTGGCTTGTGAGATCTCTGTTCCCCAACCAGGGCTTGAGCCCGGGCCACAGCAGTGAGAGCGAGGGAGCGGTAACCACTGGACTGCCAGGGAATTCCGTGTGTGTTTGTTTTAACCAGGCCAGGAAATTCTATTTTCCTAGTCATTGATTAGTTTTAGGAGTATGACCCAGTTCTGGTCAATGGTCCTGGGAGGGTGGAGTGGGTGGCAGACTGTTGGGGAGCTTCTGCAAAAGGTCTTCCCCTCTGGTTGAAATGCCCATTCTTTCAGCCAGATGCTGTGGAACTTCTAGGGAGATACCTAGCAATGTGGCACCTATCTGGAGTCAGAAGGCAAATTCAAGGACCAAGCCATTAGCCAGGGAAAGGACAGCAGGAAGAGAGCACTGAATGAGGTCCTCGATGCTACCCCAAGCCATTATACAGTCTACTTTGGTGCTTCCTGCTACAAGAGATGGTAAATCTTTCTAAACTACCTACAGCTGGGCATCGGGCAGGGTATCCAGTGTGTGCTCCTGCTGATCCACTCTTCAACTGATCCACTTTCCACCTCACTCTCTGCCCTGGAGACTGACCTGACTCCTCTCGACTGGCCCTTTGTCTCCTGACTTCAGCAGGGTTTGGCTGATGGGGAGTCCCAGCAGGAGACTGGAGGGAGGAGAGTGGAGGCAGGCCACTGTTCTCCTAGCTTCTTCCAGGCAGGGCCACTTTGGCTGGCTGGAGCCCCTGACTGAAGGCTGCTGCCTCTCTGAAGGGGTCTTTTCTCCAGGAGTCTTCTTCCAGGTTCTAGTAACTGCTCCCCCGACTCTGGGCCCAGAAGCTATTACCAAACAGCTCTGCTGATACAAGTTCCTTGATTCAACTACAGTCTTAACGCTTTTGTAAACAGTCCCTTTAAAAAGTCTTCCTCATAGAATCCGAATCTGAGTAAGCTGCTGCTTGTTGAGACTCCCAACTGATGGAGACCGTCTATTACTTGCAGCTGAAAGTCGCCTAAGTGACACCCCAGCACCAGACTTCAGTTTTTAAAATTCAGGAAACATCACAATACAGGCAATTCCAGGACACTTCCATTCCAGTTTCAAGTGGAGTGAGTGTGTCTGTGGGTGGTGGGAGGCAGTGGTTGGAGGAAATAAATGGCACATGCATGTGTGTTGTCTGGGTAGCCCTGCAGGAAGCACGTGATGAGAATCACGTCTGAATAACCCTTAACAGTACATATTTTACATTATACACACTTTTATTTACCATAACGCTGTGAGCTAGGTCTCTTGGTTTTCATTTTATAGATAGGATCAGGTGAGGATGAGAACTGGGAATTAACTTCTCAAAGCTGCAACAAGGGGGTGAACCAGGAACGGAAACCAGATCTACTGACGCAAAATTCTGTGGTTTCCTCACTCCCCAGGGCTTGCCCTTTCCTCTGTGAATCAAGACCAGAAAGGCAGGATGCAACCAAGAGGGAAAGGGAAGAGGCAGGGTGGATGTGTGGGTTAATCCTGCCCTTCCTATCCTCACCCGAGATTTTTCTGCAATTCCTTTAACATATAAGAAAAACTACATATGCTAGAAAAACCCAATCTAACAGCTTGCAGTAGCCTGGGATTCCAGAATAAATACTGAAATTGGCAGGACACAGAGTGTTCTTCCTCTCGATGGGTCACGTGAGGACACTGCCTAATGTCTGTCATGTGTGCGCCTGGAAATATACAATATTTATGCGTCATTCAACCCTCAGATACCTCTTTCTCGTGCCAAAAAGAACTGCTCTGTCCCCTATCTTCTGATCTGACCTAAAAATGTCATCAAAATCTGGCCCCAAAGACCTATAAATTCTTTTTAAGTGGAGGACTTCAGTATCCTCCCAGCCTCCTAAGAGAACGGCTTGGATGAAATCATGCCAAGAACTGAGTAAGTGGGCGGGGTTTTTAGTGGAAACCATAGTGCTGTGGCCACATGTTCACAATACCACGGGGGTGGGAGGGTGGTCCTTTGGCCAGGATAGGCTGGGAGGCTACTTAACATTTTAACATCAGGGGAAACACAGCCCAGATTCAAGAGTCAAGACCAAGTCATGAGACTCACTGGAGTCGAACTCTGGCATCAGGTCCGCCTGCTTCTAGGCAGCTGTGCCTTCACCTGAACAAACCACCCAGAACGCCGACGGGGGAAAGCACAGCAAAACATAGCACTCCAGCACGTGGCATCTCAGGAGACTGACCCTTGAATTCAGTTTACTATCTCAATCCTTTTCCTGAAATCTGCTGAAGGTAGTTTTCACCACCCCTACTAAAGGGGTAATAAATAATGTAGCAAAATTAATAACTCATCAATTGCCGAATTATTGTGGAAACAGCCAGTTCTTATTGATACAGGAAGATATTCAAGACCTGGTTCTGGGTAGACAGGGAAATACAAATACTGTACAGTCCCTCTTACACCTGGAATCTAGAAAAGTCAAACTGGGAGAAAGAGAGCGGTGGAGAGTGGTTGTTACCGGAGGATGAGTAGGGGGAGGGGGTGGCGGGGAGATGGCAAAGAACACAAACATCCAGTGGCGAGATTCTCAGGTTCCGAGGATCTAATGTACAGCACAGTGATTACAGCTAGTAATACTGTATTATATACTTGAACTGATGTTTTCGAATTGTGGTGCTGGAGAAGACTCTTGAGAGTCCTTTGGATGCAAGGAGATTAAACCAGTCAATCCTAAAGGAAATCAACCTTGAATATTCATTGAAAGGACTGTTGCTGAAGCTCCAACACTTTCGCCATCTGATGCAAACAGCAGATTCATTGGAAAAGACCCTGATGCTGGGAAAGATTGAAGGCAAAAGATGAGATGGTGGATGGCATCACCGACTCAATGGACATGAATATGAGCAAATTCTGGGAGACAGTGGAAGACAGAGGAGGCTGGTGTGCTGCAGTCCATGGCATCCCTAAGAGTCAGACCCGACCTGGCAACTGAGTAACAACACCACCACAGAATGTTGCTAACAGGGATCTTAAACAGTCCTACCACAAAAAAGAAAAGGTAATTATGTAAGGGGATGGAGGTGTTAGCTAATGACATGGTTGAATTAGTTTGCAATATATGAAATTTATGAAATCGGGGACCTCCCTGATGGCCCAGTGGTTAGGGATCCGCCTTGCAATACAGGGGACCTGAGTCTGATTCCTGGTCAGGGAACTAAGATCCCACATGGTGCAGAGCAACTAAGCTCTGGTGCCACACAGAAAGTTCCTGCATGATGCAATGATGCCAAATAAATAGTAAAAAATAAATTAAAAAAAAAAAGAAATCAATACAATGGACATCTTAATAAAAGTTGTGGGTGAGAGGAACAGTGACAGTTAAGTGAAGTGTAAGTGCTCCATAAATGCTGCTACAGATTAAAAAAAAAAAAAAAGGCCCAATACGGAGTGAAGAGGTAAGGCTGAAAAACAGGTTTTGTTTAAAAAAAACAAAAATACATCCATCAACATATGTGGGAAAAGACCTAGAGACACAGATAAGATAATGTCAACTGCTGTCTGTGGGTACTGAGTTTATAAATGACTTCTCCCTTTGTAATTTTCTGTATTTCTGCAAAACATATGTAACATTGGACTGAAAGATCTTAGAAAACAAGAGTTATTTCTGGGAAGTAACTTCATACCTCCCATGGATTACTTATACCCAATTTTGCTGATTTGTTCCATGACTGAAATTACTGGAGAAGGCTCACTGAAACCAAGCACTGGGGAAAAAAAAAGTCTAAAGCAGCAGGAGGTACTCGTTTTAAAAGAGTGGGCCAAAATTTTTCCAAGAATTTCAGCTACACCTAGCCCTACGTTGGGAGCAATCAGTATCCATTTTGATACGGCAGCTGTATCCAGCCTTAGAAGATGTTGAGAAGTATTTATTAAAACCTGCACCTAATTGAGAACTGAAATAAGGGGATCTTATTTCCACCCTTTAAATGTCTTTAGATTAAACGCCTAGTCCTCCATGCTGAGCTCAATCAAGTTCTGGTACTTATTTTTAAAAAACTAGATGGACAGAGATTTCAATTTTCAAAATGTATCACACACTTAAATTAGGCTGAGGACTAGGTGCACAGAAGGACATTTCACTGTGCCCTGGGGAGCATAAAGGAGGGAAAAATCTGAGCAAGTCAATTAAGGAACTCACCTTGCCAGCAAGATCCCCTGGTACTCTTCCAGCTGTCTCATGAAGCTGGGGTTGGGCTTGGTCACTGTCCGTCTTTCCTTCACATAGTCATAGGCTCGGTCCAAGTTCCAGCCATACTCCTTCATCGCATAGGCGATCACAGTGGAGGCTGAGCGACTCACCCCCATTTTGCAGTGCACGAGGCATTTAGATCCGTGTTTCCTTGTTTGGGGGATTCAGGTAAGGAGGAAAACACAATAGTGAGTACATTTTATCTTTTTTTTGGTTGAGATTTTTGATGTGGATCAGTTTTTAAAGTTTTTATTGGACTTGTTACAATATTGCTTCTGTTTTATGTTTTGGTTTTTTGGCTGTGAGGCATGTGGGATCTTAGTTCCCTGACCAGGGATTGAACCTGCACCCTGCTGCAGGTTAAGGTAAAGTCTTAACTGCTGGACCACCAGGAAAATCCTTATAGTGAGCACACCTGAAGAGCTAGGTTCTTAATGTGTCCATGTCTCCTGTTGAGCCCTTCCACTTTCTTGCTATGTAATTCACCCCACCTGAGTGCACTCGTGTGTACCTCTAATCACGTGTGTGGGGCAATCCTGGTGCATTCAAACAATATTCAGTGTCAATATTAAGCCTCTTTAGTTCAGTAAACATTTACCGAGCATTTACCATGTGTGAGACATTGTGCAAGGTCTGGGATGCAAAAATAAGTAACAGGTTTTCCCTAGAGGGTAGGATTCACTGGGAGAAGTGGGCAATTAAAATTCAGAACGGTAATTGCAATGACAGTTGGTCACAGAGCACAGAAGGAGAATTTTCAATTTAGAGACTGGACCCCATTTTGTGTGTGGCTGCAGGCCAGTCCCCTCGGCCCCAAGGGCACATTTCACGGCTGGCAGGCGATTGAGTTACAGGTGTGGTGGTGATTCATCTAATTTATCCAAATGCTGGGAGTTGCTTCCAGTTCCAGCAAGAGTTCTGTCCCAGGAGGAAAGCACAGACCAAATGAAACTGACTCTCCTTTTTACTCAGACGCAGCCCTGGATATTACTTTTCACAACACCACCACCCCTGCTGTATCTAGGGACTGGTATAACCCGGGGAACTGGACAGGACCATGTGATGCACCACATGGCTTTCTCAGCCAGAAGGGTGGCATGAATAACAAGCTGTTTGTTTGTTTCTTCTTTTTTAATGGGGTAGAAGAGAAAACAAAGTTACCATAGAGTGACACAAACAAACAAACAAACTCCTCAGTCTTATGCCAGAGCTAATTACCCCGGATCTGAACGTTACTCGGTTATGCTAACTCTACTAATAACACAGTGTCTGGCCTGGAGTAAGCCTTCAAATGTTTGCTAAATGTATGAACAAACTTATGGATCTGCTGATTTTATCTGTCAGCTGTAAGCAGGATCAACATTTTAAAATCTGCAAAAAAGGACAGTTACTCCTATCACTGGTATACATGGGCTGGGATCCTTCCCAAGGGGTTATTCCAATAAATTTAAAAATGCACATGTCAGCCCAACAGGGGGAATCTATTCATTCACTCACTCACTGTATTAGAGTAGACATGCTTCCTTCCAGAAGCTTATAATCCTTCTGCTGGAGGCAGAGACACATGAAAGAGTTAAGCACCAATGAAAGGAGGCATGAGGTTAAGTGCCAAGATGAGACAGCCAGCCAGATAAGCTATGAGAATGCAGAGCATGGTCTGGAATAATTTAAATAGCCTCATAAGAAAGGTAAAATTTTAGCATCCTAATGGCTAGTGCGAGTGTGTGTCTCTGTTTACTTGGATGATCCCAAATGACTAGGAAATATTTGTTTTGTTTATGGCACCACAGAGGCTTCATTTAGACTACAGTTGGGAAGCCACGTCACAGTGACTCAGATGGAAGTTCAGACATGTGTTCTGTATTTTCCCATCAAGCTCTGACAACTTTAATACGTTGAATTTCAGGTCTTTGCCTGCAGGCAAGGAAGGTACTCAAACTTGGCCAATCTTAAGAAAAAAACAATTATGAAATCCATTCCTATGAAAACATTTCTACATTTTGAGCTGGGCTTTTTCAGGGAATGGCTTCTAACTCAGATAATGAAGGATGTGGAGTTGGTTTTCACCTACCCCAATTTCATCTTTCAGGTTCAGTGCTCGCCCCACCCCCTTACTTCAAGTGCTAGACTGTCCAGATTAAGCCCAGCATCACGTTAAGACTCCTAAACTCACCCAAGTGTAGGCAGAGTCTGGAATTTGGGGCACTGAATAGGGTTGAGATGTCCAAACGAGGTGTCCAGGGTGCCACTTACGGAGGCGCTTGCTCTCAGATGCTGACCTACACTTACAGGACATGAGAGTGCGTGCCTCTCAGTAAATGTAACATGGGTGCCTCATGTATTTCCTTTCAACTTCAGCCCTGCTGGAATCAGCCTCTCTCTTCACTGGGACTGGGGCCTCGTCTCGATCTCCAGCCTCTTTGGCTGTAGCCCTGACTACTGCCTCATCTTTTCCAGTCCCCTTTCCTTAAGGAGTTAGACTGCTCCTATAGCTGATGGACTGAAAGGGGACACGATCTTAAGTTCAAGTCTTGTCTCCACCAGTTGCTACCTAATCTCTCTTTGAACCTCATCTCTGTATTCTGTCCCCTCTGTACAGAAGACAAGACAGTATACACCTCTCTGGGTTTTGGCAAACAGAGGAGAGAATATGTGTAAAGTACATGGTACACAGGAAGTAAGCTATGAGTGGTATTATCATTGGGAATAATTTAATAAGAAGCTTCAACAGTACAAAAGTTTTTCAGGTACCTCTAGGAGACCGAGAGAATGGGCTCAAAGCTGGAGTATGGGAATGGGAATTCAGGGTAACTCTGAGGAAGCATTTTCTGACCATGAAGGTCCTTCAGTGAGGTGTGGTATCATCCCTGAAGGAGAACTTTAAAGACAGAAGTGCTCCTCATCTGCCAGGGAGCACCTGAGTGTCGCCACACCTGCAGGGTGAACGTGGGCAACACATTACCTGAGGGTTTCTCCTTTTGAAGGAATACATAGGACTGGCAAGGAAATCCCCAGGGACTAAGAAAAAAGTGTTGACATATTAATACTAATTAACACTAAACCCTAAATTAATACTATGGAATCGTTTCAGTAAAAGGAAGACAATCACAGAAGGGCCAGAGAAAAATTTCACTATTTAGAGTACTGCAGATGTAAAGGACTTGATACTCATTGGAAAAGGCCTTGATGCTGGGAAAGACTGAAGGCAGGAGAAGGGGGCAGCAGAGGATGAGATGGACAGATAGCATCACCGACTCAACGGACATAAATCTGAGTAAACTCTGAGACACAGTGGAGGAAAGAGGACCTGGCGTATTGAAGTTCATGGGGTTGCAAAGAGTTGGACATGACTTAGCAACTGAACAACAACACGAAGAGTAAAAAGAAAGGGAAAAGATTTCCAAAGCTCGCTGTGTCTTTCTGCTTGATTTCAGAGAGGAGGATCTACTTTCCATCTGTCTGGAGTAATTTCTATTCTATAACTTTCAAATGTCCTCACTGGCAACTTCAGAATTTCTTCCTTCTCTCATTTCTATTTCTTTTGCTGCAGCTTGAGTTTATTTTCTCTCATTTTGTGCTCAATGGAAATAGCCAACATGAAATCATCTTCCAGGGGCTTCATCTACTTAAAGCAAAAGTATTAATTCACTAGTCATCTTTTTTCCTAAGAAATCCCAGTCTCCTTTTTTTCTTTACTTCCTTTCCCTGAGTATCATCAGTACGTTATCTACAGCTTTCAGGCCCCAGCCATGTGTGGTGCAAAAGGAACAGGAGTCCAAATGTGCACGTGGGACCATGACTCACTTTGCTTTAGAGATGAATTTGTAAGTGTCATTCCAGTAAGCCAGGAGGTCTGTGGCCTCTTCATCATACACCCGAATGTTATGATACTCAAAGACTCCCGGGAAGAAGTTGTCTATCTCTCGAGTGACATTCAAGATATAGCGAACCCTGTGAGGAAACCAAGAGAGAATATAAGCTCTACTACTCAGGTGAAATCCAATTCCCAGCACTGTTTTTCTTATTTAAAACTGGTTTACTCCTGAGGCTGAAATTAAGTACCTAACTATGGAAGAAAGCTGAAAAACAAATACAAAACAAAACAATCCTAAGAGACTATACTTAATACAGAATCTGTAACAGGGCCCTGGGCATACCTGGGTCTCAGGGATTTAACTGAGAGAGAAGCTGTCTACCAAGTTCAACATCTAAATTCCACTTTCAATGTGTGTAGTTATACAATCTCATCTTTCAGAGTCTTTTGAATATATGCCTTGCACTTTACTCCAAAGAATCAACTTGAAGCCGGTCATCTGACAAATTCTCTTCAGTCACAAAAATTATACCAGCAACAAAATTTAGTCTGTGGAAGTCATGTGTATTAAGTCAGATTATTAACATGTATCTTGAGAAAAAAAAAAAAAAAAAGAAGGAAACATTTCCTATCTTCCTAAATGCCAGATTGTCGGCTTTTGCTCTATTACTCCCCTTTAAACTACATGAAAGGCAAATGAGGCCAGGGCTGGGAGGGTCAGAGGAAAGTTGGACTTCAAACTCTCTCAGCTCTCAAGGCTGCATTCCTGGCTGCTATGACAGCAGATGTGTCTGAGAGTTCTCCCAGGCTTGCAGAAAATGCTTTCTCTATCAAAAATTTCCTCTGCTGTTTCTCCCACTGTGCGATCTTAATAAATGCCTGGGTTTAATTTGCCAAAGGATTACCTTTTTTGCAGTGCTGTGTGGCCTTAAGACAGCACTGTTGCCTACTTCAACAATACAACACAGTCACTCGTTTCTCTCTGTAGAAGCGATTTCCTTCTCTGAACCACATATGGACTTCTAGAAACCCAGTCTCTGAAGTCAGAGGAAGGACTACAGAAAGGGAGAGCCATGGCAAAGCAAACTTGTGGTGAAGGTCAAGCAACCAAAATTTTTCTGGAACATGATTTCAATCTGTTTCAACTGAGCATCAAAGTCCATCACTAGAAAGGATTTTTTTTTTTCCTTTTTAATTTAAAAAGCAAGCTGGGCTTCCCTGGTGGTCCAGTGGTTAAGACTCCACACTTCCACTGTAGAGGGCACGGGTTCTATTCCCTGCTGGGGGAACTAAGATCCTGCAAGCCACGTGGTGAAGCCCGCCCTCCCCAATTAACTAAAAAATAATAAAAGGCAAGCAACATGCACCTGAGGAAAATACTCTAGACGTTCTCCAAAAGGTTACCATCTGATCCAGTAATTCCTCTCCTAGCTATAAACTGAAGAGAAGTGAAAACATGTCCACCCAAAGCCAAAAAGTGGAAACAACCCAAATGTCCATCAAATGATGAATGGACAAATAAAATGTGGTGTGTGTGCATGTGTATGTGTATCTCCATAAAATGGAATATTATTTGGCAATAAAAAAGGAATAAAGTAGCAATATATGCTACAACACTGTAAACCTTGAAAATACAATGTTAAGTGAAATAAACCATTCTTAAAAGGCCACATATTGTATAATTTCATATAAGTGAAATGTCCAGAATAGGCCAATCTATAGTGATAGAAAGTAGGTTAGTAGTTTCTAGGAGTTGGGGAGAAGGATGGGAGATGGAGGTAACTGCTAAAGGGGCTTTCCTTTCGGGTTGGAAAAAATTTTTTAATGGATTGTTACACAGTTCTGTGAATATACAAGAACCCACTGAAGCACACATTTTAAAAGGGTGAACTATAAAGTATATGAATTATATCTCAAAACTGTCAGAAAAAAAGGCAAGCACACTTCTTATTTCATTTAAAATAAAAATGAACAACTCTCCCATCCCCAGTCTCATACTTCAGTAAGGGATTATAGCAGGACAGGTTTCCCAATCTTTTCATTATGGAAATCTAGATAGCCACTACCCACTGGAAACAGCCCTCCTTGAATCTTCTTTGCCATTTCTGTAAAGGAGCAGCAGTTTACTTGGAGTTCTAAAGTCAGTGGATTGGGAGAAAAATGGCTTTATTGTCAAAATTACACTTGAAAATCTCTTAAATCATCCACAGGGGCAATATACATGTTTTATATACAGATCCCTGAACTGTAATTCTTCATCCATTTACAATGAAGCACCAGTGAATTTAAGAAACAAGATCTAAGTAGATGTCTAAGCATCTAACCATACTTGTCTTTTTTCTGTGTTTTACAATTTATGTTTGTAAGTGGTAAATGAGATAAACAGGTCTCATCTCTAGCTGGGGATATCAGTCAAAGCATACACATACATGAATGATTCTAATACACTTGGCAGGCAGTGCTCTATCAAGTCAGATTTCTTATTGAACACTGTATCAGGTGCTAGTCTCCTACAGATCACAGTCTGTCAATTTTTCGATCATTCCTTCACATTTACTGGGCACCCTTTGGTATAAAGCTCTAAGTTTGGTATGTTTCACACAAAACTAAGATACAGTCTCTGCTTTCAAGAACTACTGATTCAATCCTCATCAACTTAAATTTTCCAAGTTCTTTTGACTTTCATACCTTAAAATTAAGTAACCAGATTTCCATTCCCCCTCCCCCAAAATTCTTTGTATAATCACTTGTCTTTCTTCTGAGGGAGAAGTGGAAGTATGCATTTAATCACCTTCAAGATAGCCAGAAGGCTGACTTGTAGCTGAGAAAACAGGCAGCCAGCAATCAGCCAGGGAGTCATCACCATCTCTGAGTTTCAGTAGGTCTTATCTCTGTCCAAATTAAGAGTTAGCATGGCCAATGTCCAGACATGATTTTCTCTTCTCTTAATGTAATGATCTGACCTAAAGCTGAGTCTGATTGAAGATTTAGGCATTAGCTAAGAAGTGAAAAGGAAGAATGGTGGCTTTTTGCTTGTTGAAGGTTCATTGTGGTCTCAGCTGCTACAATCAAAGATAACCATACCGCTTAGGAACACATTTCTTAATACAAGTCAGTCTTCCTGTTCAATTTTACATTGTTCATTTTATATTTATAACCTACCTAGTCTTCATGCACCTTACTATAAAAGGATAGGGACTGAGACTTATTTTTTTTTTTGGATTCCTAGCATCTAGCTGTGCTTGGCCTACATAAATTGCCCAATAAATGTTGATTATAGAGAGCTGTAAACCCAACACACACAGTTCTGTGTACATAAAAACAGGAACCACAATTCAGAGAGACAGTAAAAAGATCAATGGTTGCCTGGGGTGGGGGTGGGGAATAAATGGACAGAGCACAGAGGATTTTTCCTCTGATGTCATTGTGACGGACACATGGTCATTATACATTTGTCCAAAGTCACAGAAGCTACAACACCAAGAGTGAACTTTTACATAATCTATGGGCTTTAGATGACTAGGAGGGGTCAATATAGGTTCATGGGATGTAAAAAATGTACCTCTCTGGTGGGGATGTTGAAAATGGGGGGAGGCTACACATGTGTGGGGGCAGGAATATTCGGGATATCTCTGTACCTTCCCTTCAACTTTGCTGCAAACTTTATACTACTCTGAATAAAAAAACCCCAATAACTGGGTTTGATTTTTACACAGCATGAAAGGCTTATACATTGGTCTTTGAAAGACTTTCCACTGCAACAGCTGCTTTTTCTTGGGAGGAGGGGATGAAACAGAGGGAGTATAGCTGTTTTAATTTTTATTAGATTTCGCCCAGTAAGAACCAACTGGAAGCAACTCTCAAGCTTAAACTTCCGCACTGACACCTCTTGGTCAGGAAAGTGCAAAGATAAAACAGTGATATTTGCCACCTGCGGGTGTCAGCAATTGCTCCGTGTCCTTACCCTCGGTTCTGTAAATCCTCTAAGTTGGAGGCATTCCATTCTGAGCCCTGCGGAACCAAAAAGACAAGGTTAGGGAGAGAGAATTAGTAAACGGACCAAATACAATACTTGAAAAGTAGTTCTATGAGGGGAGAAGCACAGTTTCTAAAAAGAAGGCCAATAACGGCTACCACGTTTCCTCTCTATGTATGCCAGGGACTTTAAATGCTATCATATTCAGTTCTCACAAATGACGAGAGTAAGAAAGTTACCTTCATTTTTCAGAGATACGAAAACCAACCCATATAGAATTCAAATAATTCCTGCTCACGATCACATCTGCTCTACTTACAAGGCAGCTTTAACATTGTCACACCAATACCAATAACGAAAATATTAAGTTCAAATTTTCTTTGCGTTTCTTTTTTCTTATATCACACTAAGGAGTATAATCAGAGTATGTTTTATTGCTTAAGTTATCTGAATTAATTTTTTCCTGTGAGGTTATCAATTTGATATACATGTGGGTTCATTTGCTCCTGCTTATATTCAATTTTAGGGTGTGTTTTTTCTTCCATGTTTTCCATTTTCTTTTTTAATATACAAGACTTTTAAAAGCTTGAGAGTCAAAAGTTTATTAAAAAATAAACTTGGAAGTCTCACTCCCACTCCTGTCTCTTCAATCCCCATGGGAAACCATTTTTATTAGTTCGTGGCTTATTCTACCTATGTTGTATTTTGAAAAAATATAAGCAAATATATATTATTGCTTCTGACTTACACACAAGTACTGTACTACATCTACTTTTTTTGTTCTTTGCTTTCTTTACAACGTATCCTCAAACCCACTCTGCATCACAGTGTCACTTTCCCCATAGCCTTGCCAACAAAAGGTGTGATTAAGATTTTGAATATTCTCCAAACTGATAGGTATGAAACTTTATCTCAGTGTAATTTTCACTTGCATTTCTCTTAATTGTAAAAGTGAGCAACTATTCAATGTTTTAGGTCCATTTTCTACCTTTGAGCTACCTGTTCATATCTTTTGAAAAGGCAAAGTTTTAAAAAATAAGAATTCATCTATTTCAGAATAATGCATTAAGTGGCATTTCACATTAGAAGACTCAAGTTCAAGTCCTGACTCCCCCTCTGACTGCAGGGCCTTGGGCAAACTGCTAAACCTGTCTTCACTTTCCTTATCTGTAAAATAAAACACTCCCCCCACTCTAGCCCTAGGAATCTAATAGATGGATACCCTCCCCTCAAACTACAAAGTTTCTCCCACTGCTTTTTCCATGTGAGAACACAAAGAGCAATCCTGACTACGCTGCCACACTGATCTCAGACTACAGCCTCTAGAACTGTAATGTTTCTACCATTTACACAGACTCCCCTGTGGCTCAAATGGTAAAGAATCTGCCTACGATGCAGGAGACCAGGGTTTGATCCCTGGGTCGGGAAGTTCCCCTGGAGAAAGGAATGGCAATCCACTCTAGTATTCTTGCCTGGAGATAGAAGCCAGCCTGGGGGGCTAGAGTCCACGGGGTCTCAAAGAGTCGGACACGACTGAGTGACTGACACACAGTTTATATGCCAGGACCCCCACCTTGCTCTCCTCCCACCACATTTCTCTCCTTTTAAAATGGAAAACTGTCCCCTAAATCCTCTAGACATTGTCCTTCTTTTCTTTCCTTCATGGTCAAGATTCCCCAGAAATAGAATACTCACTTTCTATAATTCCTCATTTCCCATGTATGTCAACCCAGAACACCACGGCTTCTTGCCCTCATCACTCTTGCTAATGACCTCCTCTAATCGTCTAAACCAGGTCACTTTGGTAATCTCACTCCACCGGCCTTCTAAAGTATTTTTCTTGATATGGTCATCACTCCCTCCTTCCTTAGATCAGACTGCACAAATATCTAGCTTCATGCCTAGCACAATAAAGAGGATCATCAAATGCCTGTTGAATAAATGGTCAAATGAGATAAGTAAATGAAGCACTCTGAAAATTGTCAAGTGTCACTCTAGCACTACCTTCGCGTTACAAGTGATCTGTAACCTGGCCACTGAACTAGGAGACCTCAAGGATGCTGTAGTAAAAGGTCAGTAAGTGATGGACAACTGATCTCTTGTAGAGACCAGTGCTCATTTGACTTGCTTTTAAAATAAACATGTATAAGAGGTTCTTAAGACTCTGTGCTCAACCTTGGAAAACACTCCCACACCAAAGAAACAGGCAAGAAGAATAAAAACAGGACTTTCAAGGAGACAGAAGCCAAGCAATAAGGGTTGGGTGTCTAAACTGGAGCCAGGGAAATGTGACCACCTCACTTCTTAATTTAGAAATCTAAATCCCCTACAGAATTCTGTCCAGCTAGATGGAAATAACCCTGACGTGATGGGAAGAGTCCACGGTTTACATCTACCAGTCCAGAGAAACTTCAATTTGACAATCTGAAATGACACATACCCAGAAACAAAAGAAATTAATTTCATCAGCTACTGACTCAGTGAGGCTCACAGCGAGTGACTTGGGCTCTGCTTTGGGCTGCTTCAGCTTGGAAGAACTGGAATCAACATGGTGTCATTGCTTTCCTGTCTTTAATACCAATGTCATGCATATTAGCCTTCTGGGGTCCTCCACAAACTCAATCTTTTTTTTTTCCCTCCATGTTTCTCAGGCTTACAACAACATACTTCCATGTGGGTTTTCACTAAGTTCTATGTAATTATGCTAAGCATATTTTAATTGTACATAAGTATAAAATGAAATCTTAAAACTGCAATACATCTTAAACTAAGTTCACTTCCATCTTTCATTTTGGTTCACCCACATTGTACTCTGGCCCAAAGACTTAAGTGACTGACTTTTTTTTTTTCCAAATGTTATCCTTAGGAAATAGCCTTGTTGGGGACCAAGTGTTCCAAGCAAAATATAAGAGGACAGCACATTTATGGCAAATGAGGAGGACTGTATTGGGGGTTCTGCTAAGACCATACAGCTCAACATAGAATCTTCAAGGACTGGTATGCCTGTCCAAATCTTTATCATACCATAGCTACCGCGTCAACACTGTGAGCCACTTTACTGTGGTACAAGCTCTACAATTTCTTCTAAAAAGTTGATGATACACATCTCCAGTTGAGGGGCAAAAGTCCTGAACAAGAGACTTACCTTAATGTTTCTTTGAAATGGAAACTCTCATTTTAAAAGGATTTGTAATGTCAAATCTTGAAAAAGATAACCATCAGTGGTAAACTTCTGACTACTTTTTTATTCATAAAGAAAACTACTGGTTGCCTGTCCAATAGTTCCGTGTTTCCCTTGTTTAATTAAGAAAGTTGTTGGCCTTTCTGCAAAGGATCTCTGTTCACATCTAGCATTTTCTCAGCCAAATCGGACAGCCTCCAGAAGAGCTGTTGATACTGAGATTTGGTTGGGCAAAGGCTTCCAACTCAGAGGAGCAGTACACTCTTAGGGGTGGGGAAAAACTTTTTCTGGAAATACCTTGGCTTCCAACCAATCAACCCTGTCTTCTCACAGCAGGTTTTTCTTTAAATTACACTCTATACTTTTCTTCTCCACATCAGCTGGACACGTTTCTGAATAAACATCTCTGTGCAGTGCACTACAGACTGAGCATTCTTCCTAAGGCAGGGGAGAATGCCTGCTGCCTCCCTTCACACGATCTGCTTGCACTCCAGGCATGGCAGCTATGAACAAGACGAAATGACTTTGCAGAAAATTAACACCACCACTTGCAGTTTGGATAAGACCTCTTTTTCCAAGTCAACTGCTGGGAAAGCCAGCGGAGCACAGACTCACTGGAGGAGAGATACGGGTTTGGACACAGGATGTGGCGATACAAACAAAGGGAGGAAGCCATGAAGGAAGAGGTACAATAAGATGTTTAGACAACCTGTTCATGCACTTATTTTGCTGTGTAAGAGTTAAATTTCAGAATTCTCCAGTTCGAAAGTTGCCCCCCCAAAAAGAAAAATATTCACAAGGCAAAGAGCATGTCCATTTCTAGAAAACAGAATAATATCTGAAGCTGAATACACTTTCCTTTTTCAAAAATATGCACATAGATACATATTAAAAAAGTAAAACAAGAACTAGAAGGCAGTATTATATAAGGATGATTAATGGTGTTTATCTCTCTTGGTGTTGATTAAATGTCATTTATTGTCTTCTAGAAGCTGTCTAAATTTTTTGCAATGAAACCAAATTATTTTTGTAGTAAGAGAAAAACCCAAGACAGAAGACTATGCCAATAATCATGAAATAATAGGATGAATCTACTGATACAAATACTCAAAGGCCTTGCTGATTAGGGACTAATTTGGGGAGAATTGGATTGTTCTTTCTGTTTAAAGTACTACTAACATGTATTTATATGTCCTAAAATAGTAACATTTGAGGAAGAGGTAAGGAGAAGATAGTTCTTGAGAGGGTGGCATCTGAAACACAGGGGAGTATGTCTGAAATTAAACAGTTAGATAGTGGCTGGATTTGACATTTATCATGTCCGAGTCCTTTTAGGTATTAAGATTCAAGCTCAGTGGAAAAGCAACTCCAAGTTTATAGCTTTGGTCACTTTCTAATGAGTTATTTTTGGCTACAGGCACTTGTCTGTCATAAAAATTAGTCATGTTACATGGAGACAGTTGGGGGCAGGGTCCATTTGAATGAATGACTCATAAGTTTTCTATGGACAACACAAAAAATTCTTTCCAAGGATACAAGAACAGGGAATACTTAAACCCTCATAGAATTACACACAAAAGTCAGCAAAGCCAGGTGCTACACAAATGGAAAGGTCAATAACAGTTTTGCCGTATGATCTACATCTAGAAATGGCAACACACATTGGTCAAGTTAAAGTAATGGAAAAGAAGTTCTCCTCCCAGCTCACAGCTTTTCATGAGTAATTTCATAGCTATACACCCCATGAATCACTCGACAAGCACACACACTCCAAAGTGTCAACAAGTTAATTCAGGGCATAAGGCTTCAATGGCATGAAGTCTAACTGCTGGATGAAATAAATTCATATTCAGGGTGAGATGATCCAGTTTAGTCAGTTCCTGTGCATTTATTCCTCTTCCCTGTTTCCCAGCTTCTAATCATTTCACAGCTCACAAATGTCCTTATCAGAGAAAGGAAGTGAAATTCAAACCAATCGATTTAGTTCCTTGTTAGCATTTTTAGTCAAAGGATGTGAGAACTGGAAATAAAAGTGAGGTTTTGGTGTCCTCCACTGACTTTAATTATCCTTGTGTATCCTTGGTCCCACTACCATGTACAGATGAAAACAAGAACTCATTAACATCTGGGAGATAAATCGGTCTTGGGATTTTAGAATCTTTCCTAATCCATCTGTCAGAGAGCTCTCCTTGGGCTAATTACAAGTCACTGAATGTCCAGCACCATCAAGAACAATTTTAAGTCACTGAAGATTTGGTGATCAAAAAGTAACTGAGGGACTAAAAATACAGCTGCAAGGTTTCAAATATTTTGAAAGTCCAATAGTCTGTTCGAGGTAGTTTTCTGCTCTGTTCAGATGTATCAGACCTTAGACCCATTTGGCAGATGTGGAAGAGTGACGTCCAAGGATCATTCTATTTGTCTACACTGGACTGGTCTGCTTTGTGACTATTACTTCCAACAGAATGAGATCTTTAACCACCCATGGGGAGAAAAGGCTTGATCTGTAGCATCTGCCAACTTCCTTGGTGTAAATTTCCCCACCATAGTCAACTGTTGTCATTGAGTAACTGGGAAGAAATGAGCAGAAGCATACCATTATATAACCTTTCCACCACACAACAGACATAAATAACCTTTAGAGCACAGATAACAGTAAAATGTAGTCAAATAATTAGGAAGTGATGAGGTTTGGGTATTTATTACCTTTGTTTTTAACATAAGCTACAATTTATTTAAGTATAATAAAATTTGATGATTGCCCCCCCATGGGTTGGTAGAGACGAGTTTCGGCACACCCCTTTAAACTGGCCCTAAAACTTACCAAGAACACATGCTCAAATATCTGTGTAGGGCTATCCATCTGACCAAGGATCACTATCATTTCATTATCTATAAATTCCTTGAATTCTCGCAAGTTGCACACCATTTGCATTTCCAGTTCAGTTCGTATCTGAAACAGAGATGACATAATTGTACTAACCTCTAAATGGTCCCTCTGGACTTTCAATTGCTCACCATTTCCAGCCCCTCTCCTATTATTAATCTACCTCGAGCCTTGAACAACGAGGACTCAAAGTCTCTTACCTCTTTCGATGTGATATTCTCCAAATCCTTCTGCATCATAATCTCCCTTAATCTGGTTTTAATTAGCCTCTCTGTCCGCTCACGTTCAGTTGGTCTGAGAAGAGAGAAATGGTGATTTTTCTTAGGTGGGATACTGACCAAGTTAATGAATGTGTCATTTGATTATGTTTCCAAATTGTTAGGCCTTTCCTTTTGTTACTCTTAAGTTTATATTCTGGAGGCAGGGAAAAAGGAAAAAGTTTCTTTTCAGAATGTATAGAATGTAACAGGGAGAAATTATTACTTGAAGAGACTGTAGATGTCTAAAAGCCCATAAATACATTCATGTATAAAGATCCAAGAAGGAGTAAAGACAAATAGGCTACACTGAGTGCAGTACTTTAATGGAGGACCATTTCCATCAAGTAACCCTCAGCACCGCTTGCTGAGCTAGAAAACCAAGCGGGGTATGACCTACTATGGAACTGCGTCTTTTGTAGCTTAAAAATGCCACCCAGTGCTGATCAATTGTTGCTATGAGTGGGAAAGAGAGAAGAGTGATTTCTGCCTTCTTCAATGAAGCAAATTCTCTTCCAAAATGCATTTCAAGGATTAACTACCTAGAGTACCCTATCCAAAATATTTTCCTTTTTTGCAAAAGCTCTTGCAGTATTTCTGTGAAATTATTATTCCCATTTACAGATAAAGGAAATAGACAGCTGAGAGGTTAAATGATATGCCAACTGTTACTTACAATGGCAAGAGAACCAGAACTCTTTGCCCAGCTTAACACTCTACCTGCAGGATCATGCTGCTTACATTAGTCTTCTGGCTCTCTTAAAAATAAAAATTTCCCTTGGCACTTTATTATGAAATCAAACTAGGAGGCTGATTCTCCAATTACTAGAAAGATACTGGTTCAACATAACTGGAGGCTTCTCTCTAAAAGCATTATTCCCTAAGATGCAGCATCTGAGTGGGGCTTACAGAGCGCTCTTTCTGTCTCCGCCTTCCCTCCTACCTACTCAAGAAGGTATCTGTTCTGTACTTCCTTATTTGGAGATGGAAATGGACTAAGCCTTCAGGCATCCTGCCTGCCTTTGCTGCCTACGGTCTTATCACTGGCTGCAAAAATAGCTTCAGTATAATCTCCAAAGATGGATGCTCTGAGCCCACAACCTTGGGGTTTCCCACCACTTGGACTCATAAGTTTCTCATGAACCCTGCAGAGCATAGCTAACACCTATGCCATTCCCCTGTCAATCAGCTCAAGCACCCCAGTCTTGACCAGGAATAAAATATTTAACCACGCTCCCCACCACTTTTCCTAGACATAGCTAACGGCAGAAAGTTACACATTTCAGTCATCTATTAAAAATAAACATTGGTTTAAAAAAAAACAAATTTTAGCACCTGAGTGCAATGGGTTTGATTCCCTAGTTTAGCAGCCTTTCTCCCAATCCTTCACACTTATTGGGGCAGAGCGTTTGGGAGCAAATACACCTGGGTGTTTTGTTTTTTTTTTCCTTTTAATTTTTTTTTGCTTGTTTTGTGTTCTTAAATTTTGGGTTTAGTTATTTTTGCTGCACGTGGGCTTTTTCCAGTTGTGGCAAGCCAGGGCTACTTTCTAGTTGTGGTGTGAGGGCGTCTCATTGCAGTGGCTTCTCTTGTTGCAGAGCAAAGGCTCCGTAGTTGTGGCTCGTGGGTTTAGCTGCTGCATAGTATGTGGGATTAAATCTGTGTTCCCTGCATTGGCAGGCAGATTCTTAACCACTAGACCACCAGGGGAAGTCCACACCTGGGTTTTAACCCCAGCCCTGCTACTTACTATTTATATGACCTTGAACAAATTTCTTTCTTTCACTGAGCCTGGTTTCCTTTTCTATAAAATAAGAACAGTAATACTCTCTGTCTCATGAGGTTTTTATGAGAATTAAATGAGATACTATGAAGTGCCTAGTATAACATTTGACCTACACTGGAGGCACCATATACCTATGTTCCCTTTTCAATCTTCCTTGGATTTCATAATATAAACTTTATTCACAGTGGAGCACTTAAGTCCATTTTGGCATACATTCTCTGTATCCTCAGCATTCTTTTTAAGGCTCTTCTAGTCAACTTAGGAAAGAAGAGGGAATGGAAAAGGCATTACATCACAAACATACTTTCTCCCTCAATTTCACTAAAGAAAAATTTGGAAAATACATACATACAGAAAGAAGATAAAAATCACTGAAAATCCTTCTATCATTATTAGTACTCTGACCTACAGCTCTCAGTCTCTTTTACTATAGACAGACACTTGTTTACTAAATATATCTTAAAACTGCGGTTATATTGTACATACTAAGAATTAACATTTAATGAGCCTTTACCATGTGCCAAGGACTCTATTTTATGTATTTATTTATTTATTTTTGCTCAGGGATAGAGTGAGATTATGGGCAATTTCATTTTCTTTCTTTTTTGGGGCTCTAATTTTCAAATTTTCTCTAATGAAATCAGAAAAAATGAAAGGTTTTCTCTCTGATTCAAAATGTCTGTTTACGAACCAGATGAGGTGTCTGTTCCTCTGACACCCATCAACCAGTCGTAAAGAGTAAATCAGTAACACTGCTCCTGTGGACTTGGCTGGAGATCAGTGGTTAACTCTGAGCTTCCACCCCAGGGAACTAAGATCCCGCATGCTGTGTGCCATGTTCAAAACAACAACAAAGCAAAATAAAAAACCAAAACCAAAACAACAAGAAAACACTGCCCCCAATTCTGAAGGCCATACTATGCTTGTCTTTTTAGTTACTGTGGAATCTTTAAGGGACTAGAGCTACTAGTACTAACTGACCCTCGTACCAATCATACCCTACACAGAAAAGTTTCTACTTTTTAAATGACTATTCCCTGCACACGATTCTTGGAAACTTCACTTTTTTCTAGTAAAAAAGCATTTCTTATCTAAATTAAGCCTTTAAAAAATCATGAACTGTTTAGGTGTCACTTCAGGAATCTGAAGGCAAAGGGGTGTAAGATCCTTTTAGTAAGTTGCTACTCTTCTTTCCCAGATGTAGAAAATAACCTTGTAGGTGAAGAAAGATCAATTCAGAGCAAAACAAACATCCTGATTAATTTCGAAAGCAGGAACTAGGTATGAAAAAATTTCCAAAATAGTCACATAAGTTTCAACACATAGACCTAACTAAAAGGAAATAAACATCAGCTTCAACTTAGGTCTTTATCCAGTTTACAGCACAGCAGGAAGATTTAATAAAATATCTACAGACCTGATAAGTCAAATGTGGGCTGAGTAAGACATGAATTAAAAATGTATTTTAAAAAATCTTAACAGAAATCAGTTAAAAATTCAGCATAATAATGTCAGTATTCTTTTAAATTGACTGGAAACATCTTGTTTTCTGAAGTGTTTAGAAACATCCGCGCTAAAGCTTTCAACGTCATTAACTTGTTTAGCAAATGCTTCTTTTACAGATAATGCAAAGACAAGAGCTCAGCTGAACTCCTTTAAAGTCAATTTCTGATTAGTGGAATTGGAATTAATGGGATTTTATGGTACTGCAGTCCTTAACTGTGGAGACTCCGCTGTGCCCAGGTGTGAGACTCTTCAGGTTTTCGCATATAACAGAAAGAACAGAAAGAAAAGGGCAGATGTGTAGGGTCAACAATGACTAGCATCACTAGTAAGGTTAATTCCCTAAGAGGAGAGACTGGGGAGGAACATGCTGCTTCCAGACCCCTGAGAACCTAACAGAGGGGACGTCTGGGATCCCCAGCAAGATGACTTACATGTCTGTGAAGAGAGCAGGAGAGTCAGGTCGGTGGGACTGTACATCCTGCATAGCATTCCATTCGTTGACTGAGGACTGGTCTGAGTTGATATGGCTCTCATAGTAACTCACCCAGGTGAGAAAGAGGCTGCCGGGGTAGTAGTTATGCATTCTGGCCACTTCACAAGCCTTGTGTAAACTCTGCAGTGCAGACCTGAAAGATAGGCTGGGAAGTGAGACTGGAGACCTGTGGGGATACCTAAAGGCCAGTAATCCATGTATACCCCAAACTCTTCCAATTTTAAAATCTTACAGAATTGGGCCTCTGGAAAATCTACTGCTTGGAAATCAAGATTCTCTGATCCTGATTAAAATAATACCATATTATCTATTCATAGCAATCAACTAGACATTTCTTGCTGAAAAATATGACGCATTATAAAGGTGGGGGGTTTGGGGGGGAGTACGAGAACTGAAAACCTACCAGTGGAAAATAGGTCCAAGTACCTGCGGAGCTCACCATGAGCTCACAGTATATTTAGTTAGACATTTGTTGCTGTTGTTTAGTTGGTAAGTCATGTCCAACTCTTTTGTGACCCCCATGGACTGAAGCCCACCAGGCTACTCTGTTCATGGGATTTTCCAAGCAAGAATACTGGAGTGGGTTGCCATTTCCTTCGCCAGGGGATCTTTCCAACCTAGGGACTGAAGCCACATCTCCTGTGTCTCCTGCATCGGCAGGTGGATTCTTTACTGCTGAGCCACCAAGGAGGCCCGGTTAGATCCAGTTATGGTTGTATACAGCTACGGCTGGAACCGCGCTATGGCCTGTACCACCAGAGAACGAAGATCTACTTCATTTACCACACAAAGGTTTGCTTCTCTTGGTACAGGGTCACGTAGAGCATATATTCCATATGATTCTTAGAGGTTCCACAAAGATCACATAGACAGATGTCCCTAAGCCTTGAGGACAAGTCCTTTTATGGATGTACTGCTCTAATGACATTTGTCATTCTTGCTGCCTTAGTCCCCCTTAGTCACTTTAAGCCATTTACTCATACCCTTGAGCTACTTTCTAAGAACAGCTCTGGTTATTCTGTGACTAATTAGATCTCTGACTCCAAACCTAGGAACTCAAGAAAGGTAAAAAAAAACTGAAAAATATTGTTTTGGTTATATACTTGGGAAAAACTTGAGCCAGAAATGCTAGGAAGTTAGTTACTCCAAAGCAGGCATCTTTCTATGTTTTTGTTTACTGATGTATCTCAAGAGCCTAAAAGAATGCCTTCTTTAAAAAAAAAAAAACAAGAATGCCTTCTAGTTCAAAGTTAAAATTTGTTGAATGAAATGACTTATTAGCTGTAAATTAATATCTCTTTCCTAAGGGAAAAGGACATTATGAGAGAACTCTGTGGCCAATCTATTTATATCTTTTGCTTAAAAATGCCTTTTTACTGTTTCTTCTTTCATAACAAATATGATCATGCTCATTTTAGAAAATTTAGGGATCTCAGGTAAAAGGCAGGAATATCCTGTAATCTGACCACTCAGAAACAACCACTGCTAAGCTTTTAGTATAGATCTTTCCAGTCTGTTTGTCTCTGCAGAGATTTAAAATAAAGACATGATCATATTCCGCATACCATTTAATTTGTTCTTTTACTTTACACTTTGTCGTCAACATTTTTCCATGTCAATAAATGTTCAACTAGATAATTTTCAATGGCTGCATATTTAGAAACATGGATGTACTGGAATTTAACTGATTCCTAGTTTTTCAGACATTTAAATTGCTTTCCATTTTTTGATACCATTAGAACAACTGATAAAGATTCTTACAGTTAAAAATCTGCACACACCCTTGATTATTACCTCAGGATAAATTCTTGGAAGCAGAATCACTATGTCAAACGGTATACAAAATGGTAAGGTGTACTGGCAAATCATTCTCCAGAAAGGTCACTCCAGTTTATTTTCCCATCAGCGAGGCTATGACAGTGCTGTTTCTAGAATCCTTGTCAACCTCATATAATGTACATTAAAAAATAAAATTATGACCAATTTGATTAGAAAAACATGCCAGTCCATTTCTACTAGGGAATTAGATTTTCCCGAAAGAACAAAATTGCAGAATCTTTTAAAATGTTTCCTTTTACTCAAACTAAGCCAAATTCTCAGAATTCTCAGCAAATTTCAGTTTCATTACACAGATTCAAGTCTCTAGTCACCCATGGCTCAGCAGGTAAAGAATCCACCTGCAATGTAGGAGACATGCAGGTTGGGAAGATCCCCTGCAGGAGGAAATGGCAACCCACTCCAGCATTCTTGCCTGGGAAATCCCATGGACAGAAGAGCCTGGCAGGCTACAGCCCACGGGGCCACAAAAAGAGTAGGACACGACTGAGCATGAACACATACTCTAAAGTAAAAGCTAGCTTAGTGCAACATACAGGATATTCAACGCATGTTTTCTTCATCCAGGAAACACATGCTTCAAAAGCATATGCTATAAGTATTTGGTGCAAGTACCCTAAAACACATCCTAGGCACAGCCACCTTGTATTTCAGCTGTGTACAGGAGAGAGAGGCTGTAGTAACCACCTTCCGGTGAAGGAAACACCTGGTCTAAACGTTGCTTTGATTCACACATCATCTACTAGGGTTTTTTGTTTTCCTGTGACTTTCAGTTCACTAATCCCCATGTGGTACACCAAAAGAAGTTTATTCTGCAATAAGCTAACAGAGCTAGGACTAGTCAGTCTACTTTAAAACATCAACGCTTGGATTACTTGAATCCTAAAGAATTAAGACTGCTTTGTATTCCTGCCCCAAATATAGCTGAGAACATTGCATTTATGGGACTTAGGCTGTTGGGTTTTATTTGGTACAGGTCACATGCGTTTTCCTTCAAACTTTAAATGTTTTATTTTGTATTGGGGTACAGCTGATGAACAATGTTGTGGTAGTTTCAGGTGAGCAGTTGAAGGGCCTCAGCCATACATACACATGTATCCATTCTCCCCCAAGTCCCTCTCCCATCCAGGCTGGCTCTGAGTAGAATTTCATGTGCCATACAATAGGTTCTTGTCAGTTATCCATTTTGAATACAGCAGTGTGTAATTGCAGGTCAGTTGCTTTTAACTGAATCTTAGTCAAAAGAAGTTATACGTTTTTCTATGAGAAATTTATCACTGAAATATGCCCTAAAACTAAAAATTGGTCTAAACACATGACCTGAAACTCTGTCCTACCTCTATTACTGTATGAGGTAATAAGATTTAATTGTTCAGTGGACTCTCTTTTAGGACTGCACCCACTTCAAGTCTATCCATCCAGTTATTCAGGGGTAAGTGATCTCCCTGGAGTCTTTTCAGGCTCTTTTATTTCTCCTTTGGCTTGCATTCTGCCCATTCTGCTCCTCGTGGGGACTTCCACGACAGAACAGGCAACTGAAAGAGGGCTGAAACTCAAATCCCCGACCAGGGGACGACTCTGAATCTTAAGAGTCACATCACTCCCTGCTTATATTGGATCATTTTTCTAGATAATCCAGAACAAGAGAAAAACAGTGTATTCTGTCCAAGTGTAAGAGATACTAGTCGGCCAGTGAGGTGACCTCTCCCAAACTTCAGTTTTCTCACCCAACATAAAGAGCTAATGGTATTATTTGGGGGAGCTGGTGTGATGATTAGAGGTCATCTATGCGGAGCACTAGAGTCAATGCCTGCCACATACAGGAAGAACCCCAGAAGTGTCAGTACATCAGCTGGTGGTTATTAACCATTACAGTGTTTTTTCTAGAATTTATGTGCATGATATAAATAGTATCACAAACAGCGGCCAACAATTTAATGGAAACATCGATTTATAATATAACTCCATCAGTGCTATCCCTGATTACCTGAAGAAAGAGGAAATTAATGCATAGTCATCAATGTTCTAGCGGCTCTAGATGGCTACCAGCTAACTGAGTCAATGTGTCCCTATAAAGCTCAGTTCCAACAGGCTACGTGATCCATGTAGAATACCTGTGAGTTTCACTTGTTCACCAATGCTGAAGGCCTTACATGTGGTCATTTGAAAACTGAACTTCTAGGTCATCTTTAACTATAATGGTCACACAGACAGATCACACAAAATCCTATACACACAAACAGGTAACCAGGCATTTTCATAAAGAACTGTTCCATTTCAAATACAATTTCTCACAAAACACTGTTTCAATAACATATTAAAAAAAAACTTTTGTAGAGATAATCAAAAGTCCTCTTACCACATTGCCTGCACAGATACAGGTTTGAATATGTGAACTCTGTTATCTGTTGAGACGCTGAATCCACTAAGGAAAACAGAATGAAACAAAAATCTGTTAAGTGAGAGTAGGTTATTTCAGTTGTGAGTTTTCAAGGATGTTTCCTAGGCTAGCAACTGCTGGCTCAGCAGAAGGTATCAAGTACTTTGTGTAGAAGTAAACTGGAGTAGGACTTGACTGAAAAGCTTCGACAAATTGTCTGATTTTATCTACCAAGCAACATGAATGGACTCCCACATTGGAGTGAGGGGATTACATACTGTTTCCCAGCTGGAGCTATGGACAAACTGTTCTGCTGTATATTTCTACTTGGAAGTCTTGCGGGTTCTTAGTAAACCTGACCCTGGTATTATAAACTGGAGCAAACATCTTGGTCTCTTGGGGACACATTCTAAAAACACCAGGAGGTGGGGGTGGGGGGGTCACTGGAAAGAACTGGCACAGAAATGGGTTATACTGTAGGCTGACAGCTGGCAGAGGCAGCGAGAGGTTATTTGAAACAGAACATATCATCCTCTGGGAGAGCATTGCAACAGTCCCACATGCTCAGACTAAAGAGTGAGCCAACAGACTAGCTTGTCTTTGTTTGGATTCTTACCATAGTCGGCCCAGAAGAACAGAAGTGAGAGGCTCTGGCAAGTTGTATTTTTACTCTACTTTACAAAACAGGAGTTTAAAAGGACTCGCTGAGCTGCTGATATGACAGTTCAGTTGGCTACAATGGGCCTCCCATTCAGCTGAATGAATGGGCACTAAGATGGAACACCACCCCTTGGCTTTCTGTAGGAGAATAAAAAGGGAAAGCTCTTACCCATCACCATCCAAATGGATTAGGGTGTCACTCCAGAGAGGCAGGACTAAGCCCATGGTACAAGTGCTACTGCAAGACAAGAAATAGTCCATAAGTTACTTTCTGTTACCCTAGGAAGCAGTTCTTTTTTTTAACTCTTTCACCACAAAGGATAAGTCCCTAAGTTCTAAATTCTGACACAGGTGGAGAAACTTCTAACATATTACAATTAGTATCTGTTATATAACTAACTGCACACTTGTTAGTTAGATACTTGTATATTGAACAAAGAAAACCTAACTGGCGCAGCTTCCTGTACTGCTGTCTTGCCAATGGCCGCTGTCTGAAAAGTCCAGGTGACGGCTGATGCACTACTGGCAGGGCTCAGCCCAAGATTACAGCTCCCAAGTCAACTCTAAGAATTATTTCTAATACAAAGAACTACTGCTGGTTACTGCAGATCTCTGAATGTGATTTGCTCAATTTTAATCCCAAGGTTTACACAGATTTATTAAATGCCAGAATATACTCAGTAGCCTAAAAGGGAAAAGTAATTGTTGATGGCCGAGAGAGACAAAATAGACACACTGCCCTTTAAATGAATAAAACAGTGCTTGGTGGCTATGTGCTGAAACAGCACTGCTGAAGTACAGAGTGAACAGGGCTCTCAACAACCAACAAAGGGGTAGCTCTAGGATCATGTGTTAAAATATTATTTAAATCACACACACTCCAGGAAAGAAATTAGTTTTAAGTTAGTGGAACAGGCTGGGATGGAAACCATGGACTCCCAACTGAGTCTCTACCACACCACTTCTCTGGCCAACTACAATCACCTTGGTAAGACTTCTGCGACTTTTTCTCCTGAAGGCTGCCATAAGCCATTCTCCCCTCCATCTAGTCTCCCAAAGCCTCCCACACCTTCCCTGCCAATATATCTAGAGAAGCAGTATGATACAGGAGAAAGAACACTGGACGTAGGAGGTGCAACAGCGAAGGATGGCGAAGAACACAGGCTCTGGAGTCAGAGGGGCTCTAGAATCTGGATTCTGACATTAACCGTACAACTAACTGTGTTGTGCTCCAGCTTCCTATCTGTAAAATTAGGATAAAAAAATACCTTCTTTATTGAGCTGTTTTGAAGATTAAATTAGATAACACACCAAAAAAAAAAGTGTGCAACAGTGCTTAAACATAACAACTACCATTTATTGAGCAGTTAGTTACACTATATCAAAAGATCTGAACCTAATCTCCTTCAGTATTTCAATTCCTTTTGACATGTTATTTAACCCCTCCCAGGCTTAGTTTCTTCATCTTAAAATGCAGGTAGCAAAACCTAAACCTCATAGGGTTATCATAAAAATCTAACATATTTAAAGTGAAAAAATATATATATGTATGTTTAAAAAAAAAATGGAACACTTCATGGACTTGCGTGTCATCCTTGCTCAGGGACCATGCTAATCTTCTCTGTATCATTCCAATTTTAGTATATATGCTGCCGAAACGAGCACTACAGTGAAAAAAAAATAAAGTGAAAAATACATATGACTGTATTGTCATGTAAAACAAATGTTCAATATGAATCTGTAATGGGTGCTCTAGGAAAACGGAGAGTGATTTTGGCAGGGCAGGGAGGGGGACGTCATGATAATGCACTAAAAACAACGCAGGGAACATGGAACTCCCATTGCTGGAGTCACTGCAGGGCTAAGGGAGGCTGTCCCCTAGTTGGGCAGCGTCTAATGTGCACCGCACTTGTTAGCCTGTATTACTCACAACGCCACTAGTGATTCCAGAGTAGGAGATTCAGATCAAGATTGAACAGCTTAAGCACACCGTAACCTTGGGCCTGGACTCCTGAAGAGCTCTTGTGCCAGGCCCTGGAGGGAGGAAGACAGCTCCACCACTGTTTTTGTTGAATACCTGTTTTGAAAATGGCTTCTCAAGGTTGAGTGAGCTTTTAGAGTAAGTTTTTTTTTTTAAGCAAATGCTTAGCTAGGTCCTAGCAACAAGTATATGAAGGGTCAATAGCTTAGTGGCAAATCGAGAAATTAAGTAACTAAACAAGGTACCAAAGGTTCAAAGGAGTGTGATCCATGGGCTTGTGACCAGACACCAGTTAAACTTTAGACAAGTGACAATGATATGCAGGAAGCAAACATCACATTTTCTGCTTGTATTCAGGTCAGAATGTTTTTTTACATTAAGGAGTAGCTTCATCACATGACAGGAAAGAGAGGCCTGAATTAGGCACATCTAGTATTTTTATCTAGTTTATCTTGAGTCACATGAGATTTTCTCCATTAAAATATAGTTACTTCTTTTAATAGACACTCATCTCATTAAAAAATATTCATTGAGTGGCTTTATGTACCAGACATTTCAAGGTATTGGTGGAATGAAGAAAAATTAAAACATCATAAAGCTCTTTTATAACTTGAAATATATGTAAAATGCAATTTGGAAACTAAAGCTATACTTTTTATTAAAAAATTTATCACTTAAACTATAACACAATATGTAAAGATCTTACAAAGAGGCTAAATAAACTGGCTATAATAGATTTTGAGAATCCTTGGAATGAGCATGTCATAAACATTCTGGGTTTTAATACTGTTCTGAAACATTAACTTTTTATATTCACAGATACAAAGGATACAGATTCCTTAAACAGCAACTGAGACAGAAATGATAGTAGATTACCTGAGCAATGGTATTCTGAAGTAGGTAGCATTTTTCTTACTATCTAAGCTCATTCAAACAGGTGTAGGGGAATAATTCATAATATCAAATTTACCAAACAGAATTAAAACTAGTTTCTCTAGCTTTTCTTATCACATTTTGTCTTCCATAAATGAAAATTTTCTTTTGTTGGTCAGATACGAATCAGGCAGGACTATGACCAAAGACAGATGCAGTTCACTGAGGATAAATTACTGGGCACTTACATTAATAAGCATTCTTTATGATTTCTGGGGATGTTCAGGACAAGGTGAAAGAGAGAGAGCATTAGACACCTGACTTCTCACACTCTGGGTCAGGAGAACCTGAAGTTGTCACCTTCTCTCTCTCGGGTAAGACTCAAGTGCTGTGTCCACGCAGCTCCAGTTCCTGTTTTGTGGGACTTCCAAAGGAGCGGTCAGGGAGAACCAAATCAAAGGAAGTAAGATGGAGAGCAGCACTGTCCACCTGATCTTTCTGTGATGACGGAAATGTTCTGTCCAACAGGCAAGCCACAAGTGACATAGAGCTAGAGCACGTGAAATGTGGCTAGTTGTGGCAGAGGAACTGAAATTTTAGTTTTATTTAATTTTATTTAAATAGTTACAATGTGATTAGTGGCTTATCATACTAGACAGTACAGATCTAGAAAGATAAAAACCCAAGTCAGAGGTTTTAAAATACTAATTAATGTAGGCAAGATAGGTATTCTTATAGGATGAATACTTCTGTAAAGATGTGCTGCTTAGCTAACAGGAGAGGTTAAAACCAGGCAGGAGAAAAAGCTTCCTAAATGTGGTTTTCAATCCTGTGTAATTGCAGGGCATTACAATTAAAGGCTGTAAGTGGTATACAAGGTAACGACTCTGGCCCTGTGATCCTGGTGAACCCACAAATCATTTTCAGGCTGACTGCTATGTTCAAGCTCAGGTAAATACTAGTTTGAAAATCTTTCTGGTGACAGTGTGATTTTTTTTTCCCCCTCCTTCCAACATCAGGACAATGAGAATAGCTCTCAGTCTTCTTTGCTCTCTGTGGCTAAATTCTCCCAGCCTGGGTCACACCCCTAGCTACTCCACAATTGCATTCTAGTCCTGAACCAGGAAGTCCATGCTTTGAGACATCTGGCAGGATTTCCTGAGGCTTATTATCTACAATGCAAAGATCTGCTTAGCAGCCACATTCCACAGTCTTCCTAAGATTTCTCCAGAAAAAGTGGGAAGATAAAAAAAGAAAGCGACAAGACTTTGGGGCATAAAGCAGCCAGGTTTTGTGTGATATCTTTAATCTTAGGATGTAAAGTGCTGCTAAAGTCAAAGGTGAATATTATAAAAGGTTCTGTTTTGAGTTTTAGAAATCATCCTTCCCCCCTCCTTTCTAACTCAGAAGAAGAAAAAAGGAAGTGTGACATCTGACAGAAGCAAGGTGTGAGGCCATGGATGTAAGAGACTGGAATTAAAGTGGGCTCTCGTTGCCCCCAGAACCTACTGGTACAAAATCACAAAGGATGTGTGCCCCAGAATCACCAAGTGAGTCATTATGGCTTAAAGTGGATTGCAAAGAAAAGCCATTTTTTTCCCTCCTTGGAGACAGAACTTTAAACCATTTGCTTTATATCATTACTACCTAAAGATGAGAGGAAGAAGGTAAGGAAGAGTGGTAAATCAGGGACACATAACCAAAGACATCACCAAACAATTTTGTCTCTAAAGATTGTGTGGCTAAGATACTTTTGATGTTCTCTAGTTTTACACGCTGAACTTTTTAGAGGTAGAACTGCATAAGATGTTCTTGTGATAACTCAAAAGGTAACTAGAGTAGGTTGTTTAAAAAGAGGTTATCCCATCCTCCCATTTGAGGTGCCATACCTGTCATTAGAGGAGAAATCCATTCCTAAGACGATGCTTTCTTCAGTGTCTTGTCTACCATTAGTTGAAACCACTACCATATAGCGTGTTCGATTCTGGTAAGTACTTTCTAGTCTTACAGCCTGGAAATTAAGAAATTTACAAGATCAATTTAAGATCATTCAACCCTTTTTACAACACCATTTTAAAGTATACTCAGGGAGACAGCAGAGCCATAGTCAGGAGATCTAAATTTAAATTCCAACTCATGTATTAACTACGAAGCTTTCAGTAAGTTATTTGGAAGGGATATAATAATACCTATTCTGTTGGGTTATAAGAATCATATGAAATAATGCATGTGAAGTACAGTGCTTGGCATATACTAAATGCTAAATAAACATTTGCTGTTAGATTAATTTATAATAGTAACAATTACCCCGGCATGTTCTATTGATCTAAGAGTGGAATGTGATCTGTGACTCACAGATCCAAGTCCCACCAACAATTATAATACAAAGAAAAGTTTATTTATTTATATATTCATTTTTATTTTTTCCATTTATTTTTATTAGTTGGAGGCTAATTACTTTACAATATTGTAGTGGTTTTTGCCATACACTGACATGAATCAGCCATGGATTTACATGTGTTCCCCATCCTGATCCCCCCTCCTGCCTCCCTCCCCATCCCATCCCTCTGGGTCTTCCCAGTGCACCAGCCCTGAGCACTTGTCTCATGCATCCAACCTGGGATGGTGATCTGTTTCACCCTTGATAGTATACATGTTTCGATGCTGTTGTCTCAGAACATCCCACCCTCGCCTTCTCCCACAGAGTCCCAAAGTCTGTTCTGTACATCTGTGTCTCTTTTTCTGTTTTGCATATAGGGTTATCGTTACCGTCTTTTTAAATTCCTTTTAAAATTAAATTTTAAATTTAAAAAATACTAACTATATATGCGTTAGTATATTGTATTGGGCTTTATCTTTCTGGCTTACTTCACTCTGTATAATGGGCTCCAATTTCATCCGTCTCATTAGAACTGATTCAAATGAATTCTTTTTAATGGCTGAGTAATATTCCATAGTGTATATGTACCACAGCTTTCTTATCCATTCGTCTGCTGATGGGCATCTAGGTTGCTTCCATGTCCTGGCTGTTATAAACAGTGGTACGATGAACATTGGGGTGCACGTGTCTCTTTCAGATCTGGTTTCCTCGGTGTGTATGCCCAGGAGTGGAATTGCTGGGTCATATGGCAGTTCTATTTCCAGTTTTTTAAGGAATCTCCATACTGTTTTCCATAGTGGCTGTACTAGTTTGCATTCCCACCAACAGTGTAAGAGGGTTCCCTTTTCTCCACACCCTCTCCAGCATTTATTGCTTGTAGACTTTTGGATAGCAGCCATTCTGACTGGAGTGTAATGGTACCTCATTGTGGTTTTGATTTGCATTTCTCTGATAATGAGTGATGTTGAGCATCTTTTCATGTGTTTGTTAGCCATCTGTATGTCTTCTTTGGAGAAATGTCTGTTTAGATCTTTGGCCCATTTTTTGATTGGGTCATTTATTTTTCTGGAATTGAGCTTCAGGAGTTGCTTGTATATTTTTGAGATTAATCCTTTGTCTGTTGCTTCATTTGCTGTTATTTTCTCCCATTCTGAAGGCTGTCTTTTCACCTTGCTTATAGTTTCCTTTGTTGTGCAAAAGCTTTTAAGTTTAATTAGGTCCCATTTGTTTATTTTTGCTTTTATTTCCAATATTCTGGGAGGTGGGTCATAGAGGATCCTTCTGTGATTTATGTCGGAGAGTGTTTTGCCTATGTTCTCCTCTAGGAGTTTTGTAGTTTCTGGTCTTACATTTAGATCTTTAATCCATTTTGAGTTTATTTTTGTGTATGGTGTTAGAAGGTGTTCTAGTTTCATTCTTTTATAAGTGGTTGACCAGTTTTCCTAGCACCACTTGTTAAAGAGGTTGTCTTTTTCCCATTGTATATTCTTGCCTCCTTTGTCGAAGATAAGGTGTCCGTAGGTACGTGGATTTATCTCTAGGCTTTCTATTTTGTTCCATTGATCTATATTTCTGTCTCTGTGCCAGTACCATACTGTCTTGATGACTGTGGCTTTGTAGTAGAGCCTGAAGTCCAGCAGGTTGATTCCTCCAGTTCCATTCTTCTTTCTCAAGATTGCAAAGCAAAGTTTAATATCCCAGAGGAGTATGCTCTATTGAACTCTTACAGGTTATGCACTATAACATTTTCTTGTTTCAGAGATCAGAAGTTTGTATTATTTTTGTCAAAATTATGATATTTTAAAAGGGCTTTCAGTAAATTCAAATATGCACATGGTCTTGGATGACATTAAAAGCTTAGCGTCAGCATGATAATGGCCTTGTTGGTTATACCTTTTTCTTAAATATCTGGAGTAAGAGGACATGATGCCCAAGTTTTACTTTAAGATCTTCCAACAGTGGGAAGCAACAAGATATTCTCCAGTAGGTGAATGGATAGACTATGATACACCAGATAATGGAACATTACTCAGCATTAAAAAGAAATGAGCTGTCAAGCCATGAAAAGACATGGAGGAATCTTACATGCACATTACTAAGGGAAAGAAGCCAACAAGAAGAGGCTAGATATCTCCTGTATGGTTCCAGCTCTATGACATTCTGGAAAAGGTAAAACTATGGAGTCAGTAAAAAGATCAGTGGTTGCCAGGGGTTAGTGGAGCACTAAGGATTTTTAGGGCAGTGAAATAACTCTGCATGATACTAAAGTGGTGGACTACATACATGTCACTATATATTTGTCAAAACCTGTAAAATGTACAACACCCAAGGATGAACTCTTCTGTAAACCACAGACTTTGATAATAACGATGTGTCAGTGTAGGTCCATCAATTGTAAAAGATGTTCGGCTCTTGTGAGAGACAGTAATAGTGGAGATGGCTATGCATAAGCAGGAATAGAGGGTATGTGGGAAGTCTCTGCACCTTCTGCTCAATTTTACTGTGAACTTACAAATGTTCTAAAAAATAAAGTCTACTAAAAAAATTTGCTAAGAAGGTAGGTCTTCTGCTAATTATCGCCATCATCATCATTGTAAGGAGGAGGAAGAAGACGGAAGGAGGGAGGGCTGGAGGGAACTTTTATTTATTTTTGGCCACACTGTACAGCATGTGGGATCTTAGTTCCCCAACCAGGGATTGAACCCATGTCCCCTGCATCCGAAAGCAGATTCTTAACCACTGGACCACCAGGGAAGTCTCTGGAGGAAACAATCAGAGGTGATGAATATGTCCATGGCATAGACTCTGGTGATGGTCTCGCGGGCAAAGAAAAAAAAAAGAGAGCCATCAAATGACCCACTTAGTAAGGTAGAGGTGAGGCGCTCCTGGATGTCTTTCCGCCTCTACTCTGACTCTCCGAGGAAAAGCTACCTGTGAGCACAGACCCCCAAGTAGCTACATTAAAGCTTGTTTCTAGTAAGAGCTCATACACCAAGAATGTAATTCCCACCATTCTAACTCCATGTAGTAGGTAGAGAGCTATACTGCTGACTTTTATGTCCCATGAAATAACAGGATATTTCAAACCAAATTCACCTGTGAGAAGTTAAGAGGTAATTAATATTTAGACTGACAAAGGTCTAGTCCTATGGGCTCAGACTGAGTGAGCACTATACATAGAGTAATGGCCAGCAGCAAATGCACATGAGGAGGACTGGGGGGCAGCACAGACTCTGAGACTCCAGAAACACTCCACAAAATATTAAATTAACCAAACACCTGGTGCAAGTAAACTAGAATTTCTAATAAACAAGATCTCAGCTATTATTACATACCTAGATTATTACATACCTAAACCAGGGCCTCCCTGGTAGCTCAGGGGTTAAAGCATCTGCCTGCAATGCAGGAGACCTGGGTTCGATCCCTGGGTCGAGAAGATCCCCTGGAGAAGGAAATGGCAACCCACTCCAGTATTCTTGCCTGGAGAATCCCACGGACGGAGGAGCCTGGCGGGCTACAGTCCACGGGGTCACAAAGAGTCGGACACGACTGAGCGACTTCACTTCTCTTCAAACCTAGGCCTGCTTTGGCAAGCTCTAACTGTTCAGCTCCCTGAATATGTATGTTAGAGGAATTTTATGCTGTCAAAGCTCTGAAGATTTCTGGAAAGGTTCACATGCAAATGGCATGGGGACAACTGAACTGTGCTTCTGGTCATTTATTTACAACTTCTACACCAATTAGTGGAGACTGACTGGCTCAGTGGAAGCCAATACAAGTAAAAACAAAAACAAACAAACAAATAAATTCCATAAATATTACCTATTATGTAAGTTACCAGGCCAAGTTAGCAAGTTTGGGATATTCAAATAAAACATTAGTTGTGTTTCTTTTACAAGTGAGGTGTGTGTTTGTGTATCTATGTATCTATTTAGAATATAAAGAGCATTTCAAATGTTTGGCCCTCCCTTGTCTAGTCTAACCATAATGGAAGATCCCAAACCTAATGGGGAAGGTCCCAGTCATCTCACTCTAATTTAGGCTTGAGTTATTGGCTTCCCTGGTGGCTCAGTGGTAAAGAATCCACCTGCCAATGCAGGAGATATGGGTTCAATCCCTGGGTTGGGAAGATTTCCTGGAGAAGGAAATGGGAACTCATTCCGGTATTCTTGCCTGGGAAATTCCACAGAGAAGCCTAGTGAGCTACAGTCCACAGGGTCACAAAAGAGCTGGACACGACTTAGTGACTAAACAACAACAACTGGCACATCACAGATTCACTCCATTTTCAGCTTCTTAGATGGAAGAATCGTACTTAGAGGTCTTGGAATTTGATCATGGACCTCTAGATGGTACCTACAGCTAATACTAAATTTTTACTAAGCAGAAATGGAGCTTTAATCAGGGAGTTAGGAAGCCATCACGTTAATTTAATACCTATGTCCTAATTAGAAGGATAACATTAAATTTTTTTTATAATTTTCTTTCTTTTTTTTTTTTGCAAAGCCTCAAGTCAATTTGAGGCTTCAGCTTCAAGATTCTAGACTAAGGAATTAAATTAAAATTTAAGAGCCACAGGATAAAAAAAAAACCTAATACCCACCCTGGTTTGAGATCTATTTCACTCCTCTGTTAGGGGGAATTTAACAATATCTAATAACTGAATTCATCAAGCCAATCAGAGAAATATAATTAAAAATAGCATTTTGCAGATAATACTGTAATATAAGAATTGGCCGCAATTCCAGTATTTCCTCAGTTTCCAGAACTTCCATGGAATAGATGGCCTGAATAAGACAATGATTTGGATTCATTTGATTAACTGAAGCTCTCATTGAAAAGGATACTACTGAGGTTTACTCTAATAACCCAAATAAAATAGCATTTTAGATTTTAAAAGGTGGCAGCAATAGCAACTGAGAAAAGTATTCTAAGAAAGTCCCTTTATTGCTAAATTTGGAATCCTAATACAAGTTTCAGGAGAACTAGGTCCAGCAATCCTAGGTCTCTTTTTGAGAGATAAGAACCCCACTGTTCTCAAAGCTCATCTATCAAAGAATGTTAGAACTTCCCTCATTTAAATGCGTAATCTGATTACAAGCAGTTCAAGAACTGATACAATAACTTCCCTCCTCAGCATCACCCAAGTTAGGAAACACTCCTCCGGAAGTTTACGGTGCACCTTTAATCTCCTTCCCCCGGTCTTACTTACATCATGCCCCTGCACGCCATGTTTACCCTAAGGGAATCCACATTATAAAGTCCCAATGTCCAGACATGCAGCTCACCCAATCCATCAGAAACGCTTCAAAAGTATGTAAATATTAACTTCTAGCCAAAGAACAAAGCAAAGTTAATATCTAAAGTTAAAATAGACTTCAGATGTGACACTAATAGACTAAAGAACACTGTCTTCAAAAGAACAGAGCTTGAGGGAGTCTCTGGGTTTTATTATTTTTAAAAATCTCTATGAAATTCTTAAAAAACAAATAAACAAAAAAACAACTCTGGGACTTATATCGGCGTAGTCATTAAAAGCAGGTTTATTTACTGACATGGAAAGACACCCACAGGCAAGTGTGATGAAAGCAGGTTAGAACTGATCAGCCTTTCAAACATATACTGTCCGTTCCCCAAGTCTCATTCAACCATTGACAAGTCTGTCACCTTTATAAGCACATACAACCTAGAAATAAGTTTTAAATTACTTTATATTTTTGCTTGTCAGGACTACAGAGATCATGCTTTAGGTAAACTGCAAGGTTTTCTGACGCTTAGATTTGGCTGTTTTCATCAATGACCCAGTTCAGTAAGAGCAGATTGCAGAGCATCAGACACATTGTTGTTGTTCAGTTGCCAAGTCCAGTTCGACTCTCTGTGACCCCATGAACTGCAGCATGGCAAGCTTCCCTGTCCTTCACTATCTCCCTGAGTTTGCTCAAACTCATGTCCCTTGAGTCAGTGATGCCATCCAACCATCTCATCCTCTGTCACCCCCTTCTCGTCTTGCCCTCAGTTTCCCAGAATCAGGGTCTTTTATAGTGAATCAGTTCTTTGCATCAGGTGGCCAAAGTATTGGAGCTTCAGCGTTAGCATTAGTCCTTCCACATACTCTTACACATACACTTAAGACTAAGAAGGATAATCATCCAAAGAGTAAAAATGATTGTCTTGGGGTACAGGATACAAAGTACTTTTTACTTTGTTCTTTATGAATTTCTGTACTGTCTGATTAAAGACAAAACATTTTCTTTTTGGAAAAAAATCAATGTACTATACAACAAAACCAAAAAACTCATTTTCTTACATTCTCCTGCAAATTACTCAAGGACACCTTCTAGTAGTACCTTGCCAGAACCTCAGTTCTAGTTAAAAATATTAGCTAAAGTTACTTTAAATGTTAGGAAAGTTCTTAATTTCCTAGTCTATTTTTTTTTAATTAAATGGGTCTTTGATAATCTGTAAGAGTACTATAAAACCACTGTCTTCATTTTATCAGCTACAGTTTTCCTAAGTACTAATGCTTAAGACTGTATTTACAATGTAGACCTTTCCTGGAGGAAAAATTAGTTTAGTCCTATTTTCAATGCTAAAGCAAAATGTGGGATTTAGTGCCTCTATTTGTTGTTAAATTATTAAAAAAATAAAAGCAGTACTTTCAGTTGACTAGCAAACTTTTAACCTTATGCACAATCCCCAGGATGAGAGTTTCAGCATTTCAAATTTAACTCAAAACAAAGAACTTTGCTTTGAGTCTACAAATACTTCTTTCAGTTAGAAAAGTGCTAATTTGTCCAAAGTCACACAATGTATTCACTCATTTTCTTGAAGATGACTCAATAATCTGAAACATAATGACTATGTGTTTGCAACAATTCAAAACAACTGCTGTAAAATGGCTTATCACTTGAACTCTGAATTCATTCAAAGGCTTCAGTTACATTTTTTGAATTTATACTTTATAAATGTAAAGCAGCTGAAGCTGCATATTTTAGCAGCAAAGAAAAAAAATTAATTGCCAATTCAGCCTTCCTAACTGCTCCCTTATGCTTTCCCAAGTCTCTAGTGGTTGAAATTATTTTAACATTTGGAGGTGCAATCCCAACTCTGGAATTTTATTAATGAGAAGAAGATAAAGTGAGTGATCGATCTCAGCTTTAGCTCTACCAAAGCTCACAGTTTTTGGAAACTATCCACAAATTTCTATTTTTAATACATGCAAGTTACTGTTATGGATTTTAGAGGGGTTGTTCTCAAAGTGTGATTCCTGGACCAGCAGCATCAGCAATACTTGAAAACTTGCTAAAAATGTAAATATTACTGCCTCCCTCTCCCCAAATCAAACTCTTGAGGTGGAGTCCAACAAATGGCAGTTTAACAAGCTTTGCAGGTGATTCTGATGTACTCTGAAGTTTGAGCATCACTGCTTCAGAATGTGTGAGTTATGGTCAGTAACTCACAAACTGGTGCTCAGCAAGTCTTGGATGATCAAATTATTTCACATCATTTCAGATTAGCTCACATCCCCAATTACATTCTAAGCTCTTTGCTGATGTCATTCTTCTTTTCTAGTCCACATAGTTCCCAGCACTGTGCTGGGACATAAAAATGACTGTTTAATGTTTGCTATCTTAGTCTTTTGAAGAAGAAAGTTATAATAATACCACTAACTTACCAGCCTGATGTTGTCTTCTGGGCGAAGTAATATGAACATTGCTTGGAGATGCTGTTGGAGATCACCTGGTGAAATTTACAAAACAAACGATAATTATTCTCCATTGTAATGTTAAGAGAGAGGATTCCTTCTACCCTAATAACTTGTGTAAAAGAAAGTTCTGGTTCACTGAGGGGCTCTAATTAGACAGAGAAACTGAGTGTCTTTATATGAATGGTGGACTGCATCTCCATACATTCACTTTTAAGTTTATACTACATTAAAATTTGCTTTGTGTTTGTCCTAGCTGCACTTGAGACCAATCACAGTTTTGTACTATGACTGATGTTGATGAGAGTGATGGGCAGAGAAAGCACTGGCTGTGTTTTCAGGGCCACAGAAGGTGGAACTGAGGGAATCTTGAAATTGAGGTGTACGGTATGTAGTGTTAGAATCACTCCTAACTTAAAAAAAGCTAACCATTTTGCCATTCCTATTTTTGTAACTGTAATATTCAGCTGCAAAAATCATAATTAAAAAGATTTTTAGATTCCCCCCGGAATAATGTCAACAGTTAAAAATGATTTTCACATTAGTAGCTGATATTAAAAAGACAGTACTTATTAAATAGGTTTCCCAGATGGGGCAAAGGTAAAGATTCCGCCTGCCAATGCAGGAGATGCAGGTTCAGTCTTTAGGCTGGGAAGATCCCCTGGAGGAGAAAGTGACAACTCACTCCAGTATTCTTGCCTGAAAAGTTCTATGGGCAGAGGAGCCTGGAGGGCTATAGCCCATAAGAGTTGGACATGACTGAGCAACTGAGCATGCACTTACTGAATACATCAAATCTTGGGAATTCCCTGGTGGTCCAGTGGTTAGGATTCTGTGTGTTCAGTGCTGAGGGCGTGGGTTCAATACTTGGTCAGGAACTAAGATCTTGCAAGCCACATGGTATGGCCAAAAAAGGGAAAAATTCATGTATGTGTGTATAAATACAGTAAATCTCAAGGGATATAAATTCTAGTGAACATACCATTAGGTGCTTTAAAATAGCCAATAATTATTTCAATCCTCATTAGTTTTTATACAGTCTATAAAACTAAGTTGAAATTTCTTTGTATCAAACTATTATAGATTTCCTCAGATTCCCTACTGTACTAGGAAATCTCAAAGCTTTGGCTGTGTGTCAGTTGCTCAGTCGTGTCCGACTCTTTGCAACCCAACGGACTGCAGCCTGTACCAGGCTCCTCTGTTCATGGAATTCTCCAGGCAAGAATACTGGAGTGGGAAGCCATTCCCTTCTCCAGGTGATCTTCCTGACCCAGGGATTGAACTCGGGTCTCCTGCATTACAGGCAGATTCTTTACTGTCCGAACCACCAGGGAAGCTTTGGCTAGTAAGAGGTAATTAGATAATGTGCTGTCATAAATGATGACAACGAGAGAACAAAAAAACTTCATTCCTGCCCAACCCTTTTTCGAGAGTCTAAAGTAACTAACGCAGCTGCATAATCACAGATGCCAGTGTAACCTGTTCTCACACTGGTCTTGGAATCTCCATACATACTTTTCCTCTAGGTAACTTCATAGCTGTTAATTATGAGATGAAATACTGATATGTGCAAGAAGTGGAGAGAGATAGAAATAAAAAAAAGTAGGCTGGCAAACAGACGTTGTCCATCCTGTGGTACTTGTGGGATCGTAGGCTCCCTGACTAGGGATGGAACCCAGACCCTCAGCAGTGAAAACGCAGAATCCTTACCACTAGACCACCAGGGAATTCCCCTCTTTTGTTCTCTTAAAGAATAGTTTTTTTGCCTTTTCCCCCCATTTTACTGTTGGCTTCTTTACTTCTTCTATTGAAGAAACTTTCAACTTTCAAAATTAAAAAGAAGAGTCATTATGTTTGCCCAGGTTCATTCTATTATACTTCAAACCCAGAGGCACAATATAAGTCTCATGTACAAGAACCAGTGTGGGTTCATAGCAGAAATCCAAGAGAAATGAAAACATGTATCCACACAAACACGTGTACACAATGTTCACAGCAGCATTATTCATATTATTCCTCAAATGGAAAACACTCAAATGTCTATCAACTGATGGATGGGTAAATAAAATGTGGTATATATCCATACACTCTGATACTATTCTATCATAAAAAGATATATACTATCACATGGATGAGTCTTGAAAGGGGCCATGTCGCAAGTGAAAGGTGCCTGTTTCAAAAGACTGTGTATATGGTTCCCCTTATACGGAACACCCATAATAGACAAATCTATAGAGACAGGATGTAGATTAGTGATTGTTCAGGGATAGAAGGGAGGGTGGAGGATATAGGGAGGGACTGCTAGTGGGTACTGGGTTGCTTTTTGGGGTGACGAAAATGTCCTAAAATTAGATTTGTGGTGATGGCTGTGCAACTCTGTGAATATACTGAAAAAAAATCACTGAATGTACACTTTAAATGGGTAAATTGGGTGAATAATATAGTATTTATGTCTCAATAAAGCTGTTAAAAAAAGAAAATGAGAGTGGGGAGACAAAGTGTTAGGTATAAACAATGAAGAATGACTACAATTACTAGCTACAATTGAGGTAAGCAGCTCAGGCTTTTTAAAAACTAAGTTTTCCTTTTGTTCTATGAAGACAAATAAACTGAGGAAAGAATTTTCAGGATGGAGAACTTCCAGGGGAGGAAAATGTTTCTGGGCAAATGATCAGTTGCTAAGTCATGTCTGACTCTTGCAACCCCATGGACTGTAGCCTGCCAGGCTCCTCTGTCCATGGGGTTTCCTAGGCAAGAATACTGGAATGAGTTCTTATTTCCTCCTCCAAAGGATCCTCCCGACCCACAGATCGAACCTGCGTCTTCTGCCTCTCCTGAAATGGCAGGTGGGTCCTTTACCACTTGAGCCACCTGGGAAGCCCTTCTGGGCAAAGAGTAGTGGGAAATCCCCATTCTAACTACTACTGGCCCAAAGATCTAGCTGGCTTCTCAAAAGGTTCACCAAAGTCAGGGAGCCCTACCCCTCCAAAGGGGCTTCTTCTGCGAGTGGGGCATGTAGAAGTTCAGGTTTGTTTGTGGTGAAAAGCACTGCCATGAACAAAGTGGGTGCTTCCTACCAGGAAAGCACCAGGTTAGTCCTTCACAGAGACTAACTGAGGCAACACACCCGAACCATTAAGATTCCCTCCCTACATTTTGTTTTCATATATTTCACTGTTCGTAGTGAAGTTTTAGACTTGTTTGATTTCATAGACGGTTGGTTGTTTTTTCTTTAAAATGTTAGCAGACACTCACTTATGATATTGCCTTTTGATTACAAAAAAGTACTTGGACATTTTTAATGAAGCCAGATAAAATTCTAACTAGTTCGAGAAACATGCAGAAGAAAGTACCAGGAGACAGAGGAAGCCCTTGATCTCCTCTCAATTCTGCAATCATCTTTTCAGTTACTGTGGACTTGGCCAAGGGAGCTCCCAGCTTATGTGAAGGTCTGGCTCTATGAGCTGCATTTATACTCACACTGCCTCATCTGTTCTGGTTTGAATCACAAATAAAATCCATTCAGTTTGTGTTAAATCTGCTTTTCTTTTTGGTATAGAGAAAGCTCAGTGGACAAGGTCAAGTAGAAACCTGGGTGGCAGCTGAGTGTAGAAGTCTGACCAAAGAAAAAGACCAACCAGGGCCAGAACTTTAAAAGCCCCTGACCCCACTTACCACTACATGCCACAGAGCAATTTAACTAACGTCTTAGTCAGACCAAGCTGGATTTAAGCCAGTATTTCATCTTCTTTTTACTGTTAAGTGATAAATATCCACAGCAAACAGAAACACAAAGCTCAACTGGGTCTACTTCCTCTGTGCATTCAAGTTTTGGGTGAGTTTTTTCGCCTCCCTCTTTTAAAAAATTTTCCACGGCTGAGGTTTTGGTAGGAGGATAATACTGTCCAATGAGCTGGATTATAATTCTGAGCTACTATGTTTTGAACTAGATGAAGCACCAAACAAGAAGTAGGGCAGCCACTAAAATAGCCGAGATTATCTGGACTGGAGCTAAACTCAAACTACTGGCTCAATGGGACCCAGGATTTCTGGTTTTCACCTCTGACCTACACACTCAAGGTTTACAGTCTTTCTTTGTTCTTTTCTTACTAATTATAATTTCCTCCACTCCTTGAGGTAATATGTCATCCAAATGGCCTATTTTGGACAATAAGCAAACACTCTGTGTAGCACTGATTGATGTTTCCCTAACTGTTGTCCTGAGGACAACCAACTTTTATCTTTCCCTCAAAATGATACAAATTAGACTTGCTGTTTAGAAGAAGAGAGGCATAAGGCTGGTTATCTTCTTAAACTATGGATATCATATACCTGGTGACCTCTCTCCTGAGACAAACTTTCTTTGATTCTTTCTTAACCTCATCACCACAGATGCACCTAACTCTAGAGAAGTCTAACATATGGAAATAAAAATGCATCTTCGACTGTTAGTGGGTGTGATACTGTGATTTATAATAAGAAATACATTTCATCTCGGTCCAGTTTGTGGCACAGAGTTTTTAATATTGGAATTTCTTAAATGATGGGAGCCACGAAGATGTCTTCTGTTATATTAATGACCTGACACTCTAGGAAAGTGCCTCGGGATGGGGCTGGTTGCCAGGGGAGACAACCACGTGATCAGAGGGTTGGGATTTCCTTGTCTGGGGAGGGAAGAGGGGCTGAAAAGTTGAATGGATTACCAATAGCCAATAATTTAATGATGTCAGTGTCATGAAGCCAGCACAAGAACTCAAAAAGGCAGGGTTCAGAGTGCGGCTAGATTGAGGAATGCATGAAGATTGGGGAGCGTATACACTCAGAGGGTAAGAAGCCTAGTGCCCCTTCCCAAATATCTTGCCTTATACATCTCTTCCATCTGGCTGTTCTGAGTTATATCTTTTTATAATAAGCCAGCCATCCAGTAAGTAAAATGTTTCTCTGAGTTCTGTGAGCTGCTCTAGCAAATTACACAATCCCAAGGAAGGGGTCACTGGAACATTCAATCTACGACAAGTTGGACTGGTGACTGGCATCTGAAGTGGGGGACTGGGGGGGCGGCCTTATACAATAGAGCTCTTAACCTGTGCAATCTGACACTACCTTCAGATAGTGTCAAAAATGAGTTGAATTGCCGGATACCCAGTTAGTGTCTGAGAACTGCTTGGAAGTGTGGGAAAAAAGGCCTCACATTGTTATTAGGTGAAGAATATTAGCAGGTTATTTCAAAATCAGAGCATTATATCCATACCTAAGTGAACATTTATTTGATGACTCCCTGTTTCTATATAAGTCTTCTGAATTACATTTTCAGTCTTTTTAATGTGAACACAATCAAGACATAGACTCTGGTATTTAAATATGGCATATAATAACTCTTATTATCACAATAGTGACACTGAATTTACTTTAAATTAGTAATATATCATATTAGTCTTGTGACTTCCCTAGAGAGCAGACAAAAACAAATACTATCTTTGGTCAATTGATACTGCATAGGATTTGAGGAAACATCTGAACATCTTTTAGCTGATTACCAAAACCTTACTCGAGAAATCACATTAAGATGTCAATAATGTCTTTTTGTACCTTATTATTTTTCCAACAAAAATTAATCAAACATCGACTTCATGTATAAGGAATTCTGCTAAGTGCCAGAAAAATGGTCTATGAGCATGAAAGAAAAGTGATTACAGCACAGTACAACACTTTCTTTCACTATTACAGAACTGCTGGAGAAATGGCAATGGAGGCAGTCAGTCTTCTAAGACAAAACAAAAGGCAAAGAGACCAAGAACAGGAATGGCGGATGTGGAGCTTTACCTGCGTGCTTGTTGCGTCTGTGGCTGACCCTTGGTGTGGATGAGCCATTTCCCCGTGGCAGAAAAAGGGCAGCACCTTTGACGGTTAGAAAGCTCTCGCTGATGCTGCAAGGAAAAAAGTACAAATAAATAAGTAAATAAGTAATTTAAGGAAGAAAAACCAAAGAGTAAGATGAAGACTGACTTTGGGATTATTTTCTCTCTTTCCTCTTCTAAAGTTCCAACCTCATGGGACGAAGTAAAAATAAAATCAAAAGAGACTCTGATAAACAACAAGGTACTACTGTATGGCCCAGGGAACTATATTCAATATCCTGTAACAAACCATAATGTTAAAGAACATGTATACATATGTATGAATCACTTTGTTGTACACCAGAAACTAATATGACATTGTAGATCAACTATACTTCAATTTAAAAAAAGAAAAAAAGAGAGACTCTGGTTACTCACACAGTCTTGTCTACTATAGACAATTCTTCTGAAAGAAAATTCACACTATTCTACATACATTACATAGTAGCAGTTAAGAGAGCAGGTTCTAGAAACAAGGGTAAAGGGTCTGGAATCAGACTGGCTGGGTTTGAATCCTAGCTCTGCTACTTCTTACCTGAGTGAGTTTAGGGGGCCTAAGTTTCTTTATCTATAAAAGAGAGATTAATAAACAAATTGCGCTTCTTGTGGGGAGTCAGTAAGAATAAGAAGCTTCTTAGAGTGGTGCCCTTAATAAATATTAGTTTAACAACTCATAGATCCTGGGTTGTCAATAATGGTGTTTCAACAGTGTTCTAATCAGCTGTGAAATATGTTATAATACTTAGCTACTAACAATAGATATAAGTTTGCAGGAAAAGATTTATATTTAAAATACACACACATCACATTAAAGTGTTACTCAGAATTTTACTTTCATAAACTTGCATTTCCATAGCATTGAAAAGGCATAGTGCACAGGAAGTATGTTCAACTCACAGAGTGTGCCTTGGGTATTAATATGATCCTTCACATGAATGACAGCTCAACAGAGATGGAGAATTACTGCTTAGAGGCTATTCAAAGCACAATTACTAGTGGATATCCACAAAAAACTGAAATTATATCTGCATTATTTCATATCAACAGACTGCGCCTTTCAATGTTATCTACAGAATTCAAAAAGAATAGAACTTATAAACCATTAATGGTAAAGTCTAGAAACACATAATGAAGGATTCCAAGATTGTCTTTGAGTACTCCAGTCAGGGTTAGTCAATGTATTGTAAATTACACTGCTCTGCCTATTTGACATTTCTGCTTGGAAATCTAATTGGCATGTCAAATTTATACTGCCAACACTAATCTCTTGAATTCCCTGCAAATCTGATCCCTGGCCACATCCACCCAAATTGTTTAGGAAAAACATATAACAGTTATTCTTGGCTTCTCTATGTCTGACAATATATATCTAACCTATCAACAAGACCTATGAGACTTGAATTTGTCCATGTATCTCCATCACCACTCTGACAATGGTCCAGGGCACCACTGGTTTTCACTTAGACTGCCGTTTGAAAAGTTTTCTTTTAGGGTTTTATTACAGAAAATTTCAAATCGATTCAAAAGTAGAGATAATAATATATGAGCCCCTATGTTCTCATACATTCCAGTTTCCGTTCACGGCCAATCTTGTTTCTTCTGTACCTCTACCTCTTTGTCCTGACCCTGAAGTGAAACTAACCCCAGACATTGTATCAGCAAAAAGCCTATAAACTGGTCTGTCTGCAAGTATATCTGTACCACCACTATCCACTTAGCAAAGAGCAACCAGAGTGCTTTAAAATAAAATATATAGATATATATCATATAACATCACTTCCCTGCTTAAAACCCTCCAACAGCTTCCCTTTATATGTATAAATAAAACCCAAAGTCCTTAGCTGGGACTTCAAGACCCTGTAACAGCTGATAGTTACTTCCCTGGTCTTATACCATCTCCCTTTTTCTTTACTACAGTCTGGATGCACTAGTTCCTTCTGTTCTATATTTCAGGCCCTCCTCGGGGCCTTTGTGCTCTTTGTTTTCTACCTGGGACACTATTCTCCTGGCTTGTCACCATCTACGTCACAGCTCCATATCATCACCTTCCCCCATTTCAGCATACTCTATCCTGTTGTTCTGTTTTGTTTTCCTTCGGGATATTTATCATAAACTACAATTATATGTATTCACTTATATACTTGATTGTGGTCATCTCCCTATAATAGAATATAAACTCTATGAAGAGCAAGACTTTTATTTTTCTCAGCACTGTATCTTCAACACTGGAAACAGTGCCAAGCACGTATCAGGTACTCAATAGATATCTGATGAATAAATGAATTCATTCCAGGGTTCTTCCCCCCCTCCCCACCCCCACATAGTTTTTTCTGACCCATCACTGCAACAGGAATTGTAATTTAGGACAAGAAAATAGAAATTCTGTAATCTCACAGGTTAAAAAAATTATTATAGAATTCAAAATATGTGGCATATTACTGGACTGTAAAATACAAACGTTTGACAAGAAAATAACTGGCACATGAAATTAAATCATCTTTATAATGTCAGTTCTTGACTTCATTTTATCTTTTAATCATGTGGTGTGAAGCTGATAAACCTCTGAGGTAACTTGCCAAATAGATTCACATTTGTCTTCTAAACAAAGGCTCCACAGACGCCACTTTAAAATTCTACACGCTGGCTGGGAGGGGCTGCCTGTGTTTTGTTTTCATCTTTAAATAAAGCATTGTGCTCTTGTGGTCTGTTGCACAAGTTTTGTCTCTTGTTACATTCGTGGTGTGCACATGTCAGCCTGCCGTGGGTCACTCTGTTTCACTCACATTACGGGAACAACCTAAAACAAAATGTCTAAGCGACAGGATGAGTGGGGTATACCACAGACAGGAAATGACATTCACACTTCTGCCAACACAGCAACTGTCTGCTTTACTAAACGAAAATACTTTATAAAAATAAAGGTAACCAGTTTACCTATCAGCAGGCAAGTTACAGCTGGGGGCATTTTGGTTTCTAGTACACAAAGTGGTCTCTACATCTAACACTAAAGAAGTATATTTGTTGAGAGCTTATTTCAGTCATTCCTTTTGTGAGACAAAGGTACTTTCTGACAAACACACCAACTTCCTGGTTTTTAGAGCTCTGGAATACTGCTCTTAGATACATTTGTTGCATATGCTTTAAAGTATATCTAAGTGCCTTCTTCAAAATGTATGTAGTGCTTTCACAAGGGGGGAGTTGGGGTAGAGGACAAGAGTCCTTGGTTAACTCAAAGCTACCTGGAAAATTCCTGATTATAAAAGAAAAACCAGGAGTCAAAGTCATGATTGGTATAAGGGAAAAGATGCTGTTCTATTTAAGTCTTTTATACAAATCTCAATAAACTTTTCTGATACAACAAAATGCACAGCAGATCCAGCTGGGCTGGGAGCTGCCCTAGTAGGTGCAATGTAGGCCCCCAGAGAGTCATGGCAGATGCACTCTGGATGGTATGATCAACTGTCTTTACTCTGTGGTCTCAAATTTTGACTCCCCAGTGATCACAAAAGTGGCATAAAGGGGACAAGAGTGTTGGTCACAAGGGACCAGGAATGAAAGTGTGACAATTACAAAAAACCCTTCTCATCACTGAAAAAAAGTCAAAGCTCTATAAATGCTATCAAAGATGAGATGGCAGCATGGTGGCACAGAAAAACCAAAATTCGAAACCACCAGAGTTTAGGAGGATCAATTTCAACTTGAAAATTAAATGCCTGATTTGCATATGAAGAAACTAATATGTAAATTTAATCACATGTACTTCAGTGTACAGTAAAGGCTGAGTATATCTTGCTAGAGTAACAAGAGACTCATTTATGTAAATATTCATCTTTCTGAAGCAGCTGGCTGAAGATTCAATCAGCACAGAGTTGGTCTCTCAAATCGAGAAGAGTAGGTGAAAACTTTTATACGTTTTTCTGAACTGACCAGTTCTCTAGAGTCTGGCCTAGGAAGAGGACTCCTCCAGTAAACTCTATGGAGCCATCTGTGTATGATTACAGATGCCCAAGTTAAACACAAACCCCAGAGGACTTAACTCCTATATTAAGGAAAACATAAGATAAAGAACACTCTCTGAATCTAAAGATGGAGAGTAACTAGCTTCTTGATGAGAGAACGACAAGGATCATCTTTCTAACACAGTGACAGTGAAGTTCTCCAGTCTTTATCAGGGATACAACTGAAGAACATCTACTCGTGTCCTGCCCTAAGATCACCTGCTCATCAAGTGGAAAAATCATCCCTTGATTGACAGATGAACTGAGCTACTAATAGCTAACTTGAGTAGATGCCAACTGTATGCCAGGCACTGAGCTAAGCACTTCACAATATTTCATTTAACCTTCACAACAAGGTTACTTGGGTACTATTTTTCACCCTCAATTTACACATAAGAGACTGAGGGGCTCAGAGATGGTAAATTATCTACCCAAGATCATACAGCTGGCTAGCAATCCTCTGAGCCAGGATTCAAACCAAGGTTTGATTTGAAAGTTCATGCTCTGAATCAGTCTTTACTATGCTGTTCTAGTTTTATGATAAAGTTTACGGAAGATGAAACACGGTATCTTCCCTTACAGAGCTTTTCAACAGAACAGATTTTAAAAGCAGATACAGAAGTGAAAGCAAAGGACAGAAATTCATTCAGATCTCAGCTCTGCTCATTCCTTTTTTGTTCCCTGACCAAGGCCATGAACAGAAAGACTACTGAGGGTAATGAAGAACATCTGGCTGAGAGATGAATCCAGATGGGCTGCACAGTAGAGAAAAGAACTGGGCATGATGGTAGCATTTTTAGTCTCAAAAACAGAGGAACGAATCCTCTGCTTTAAATAATTCGGGGAAGCACTCTGTGCCAATCCCTCGCAATCAAAAGCACTTTCCAAAGCATGAAATTTGTGAACTGGCAGTTTCTACTCCGGCAAAGTGTAGAGAAGGTCAACTAAGGGAAGAGAACACGTAACTGTTTTGAGATTAGAATAAATTTTTGAGGAATGTGGCCAGGGTGGTCAACCATGACCAGCAGGAAG